GTCACTTTACGTGGGGGAAGTCACTCATATGCCCCCAGTAAAGCGGCTGAGGGAGGAACCCATCACCTTCACTAACGCTGATCTCCCCCCGGTGTCCTCCCCACACAGGGATGCCCTCGTCATCCGCATAGAGATCAATGATACTAATATTCACAGAACTTACATTGACACGGGCAGCTCCGTCAATGTAATGTACCTCAGCACCTTCAGAGATCTGCATCTGGAGAGGGGGTCCCTTCGGCCCATCAAGACCCCTCTTGCCGGCTTCACCGGTGACACCATTGATTCCGAGGGGGTTATAACCCTCCCGATACTCTTCGAAGACGGGTTCCATAGAGCCAAGCTCGAAGTGGAGTTCGTCGTCGTCAACATCGACTGTGCCCACAACATCATCCTCGGCCGGCCAGCCCTCGAGGATCTCGAAGCCGTCATCTCCATGAGACACCTCTGCCTCAAGTTCCCAGCCAAGGGGGGAATCGGTTACTCAAGGGGGAACCAAAAGCTTGCCCGCGCTTGCTACCTTCAAGTGACAAAGAAGGTTAACAAGACGGAATTCCGCGTTGACACCATCACCGGAACTGTGGAAGCAGAGGAAAGGAGGCCGAGGGCTGAACCAGCCGAGGAGGTAGAAGACTTCGCGCTCGATCCGGCCAAGCCGGAGAGAGTCGTGAAGATTGGAGCCAAGCTCCCCGAAGACTTGAAGACCGGCATCATCAGTGCCCTCCGCGCCTACTCCATTGTTTTTGCATGGGGGCCGGAGGACATGCCGGGAATCAGCCGAAGGGTCATCACCCATCGCCTCTCGGTGGACCCTTCGGCCAAGCCAGTACAGCAGCGGAGGAGACCCCTCTCGGTCGAGAGAAGGGAATTTGTGAAGAAGGAGGTCGCCATGCTCCTCTCTATCAAGCACATCAAGGAGGTAAAGTACCCTCATGGCTGGCAAACGTAGTCCTCGCACAAAAACCGCCCTCATTCGGCATGTGCGTGGACTACACGGATCTCAACAAGGCATGTCCCATGGACCCCTTTCCTTTGCCGAATATTGATCAACTTGTAGATGAAACCGCGGGGTGTGAAATCATGTCATTCCTCGACGCATTCCGTGGATATCATCAAATATTTATGCATATGGAAGTTGTAGAAAAACAGCCTTCATGACTCCCGAGGGCATCTTCTGCTACCTTGTCATGGCCTTCGGCCTAAAGAACTCAGGTGCCACCTACATTTGGATGGTGGCCAGGGTATTTCAAGTTGTCCTAGGGCGCACCATGGAGGCGTATGTTGACGACATGATCATCAAGAGCAAGCAATCAGCAAGCCATGCTGACGACCTGAGGGAGATCTTCGCCATCATGCAGAAGTTTAGCCTTCGGCTGAACCCAAAGAAGTGTACCTTCGGAGTTCAAGGGGGGCAAATTCTTGGGCTACATGGTAAGCCGAAGGGGTATCAAGTCCAACCCCGAGAAGATCCAGGCCATCATCAACATGGAGCCCCCACGCAACGTAAAGGAAGTCCAATGATTGACGGGCCACCTGGCAGCCCTCAATCGCTTCTTATCAAAATCAGCGGAAAAGTCCTTACCCTTCTTCCAGATCATGAGAAAAACTGTCGGTTCCCAGTGGACTTCAGAGTGTCAGGGGGCCTTCGAGGAACTGAAACGGTACTTATCTTCGCCCCCTGTGTTCTCTAAACCCAAGGTAGGGGAGATCCTATACCTTTACCTGGGTGTTAGCCCGGCAGCCATCAGCTCAGTACTCATCCGGGAGGAGGATGGCATCCAACATGTCATCTTCTATGTTAGCAAGATCCTCAGGGAGGCAGAACTCCGGTACTCCCCCGTGGAAAAAATGGTGTTGGCTATCGTATGGACCGTCAAGAAGTTGGTCCATTACTTCCAGGCTCACCCGGTCCAGGTCCTCACTCACCAACCCTCGGCGCTTTGATGAGGAGCCCCACCAGCTCCTCTCGAATGATAAAATGGGTTGTCTTCTTGAGCCAATACAACATCGACATCCGTCCTAGGCCCGCCATCAAGGGCCAAGCCCCAGCGGACTTCGTGACGGAATGTACGGCAAGGTCAGCCACGGACGAGGAGCCCTCGGCTCCTTCGGATGATTGGTGGACCCTCTTCACCGACGGCTCCTCCGCCGTCAAGGCATGTAAAGGAGGGGTGGTTCTCATCTCACCCGAAGGCTTCCGGGCCTATTATGCAGTCTGTTTCTCCTTCAAAGTCTCTAACAATGAAGCCGAATACGAGGCCCTCCTCTGTGGCCTTCGGCTAGCAGCTAACATGAAGGCCCGACAAATTCACGTCAAGTGCGACTCCAAGTTAGTCGTCAGCCAAATCTCCGGGGAGTACGAAGCCAAGGAAAGGAGAATGAAGCAATACAAGGAGGCGGCCAAGGAGTTGCCAAAGTAGAAGCAATACAAACTCCGAGGCCGACATTTTATCCAAGCTCTCGACGAATCCCCTGAGCACATCTCAAAGATTGCCAAAGTAGAAGAGCGAAGCCTCTCTAGTATACATGCTAGCCCCATCATGCACATACAACAAAGGCAAGATGACTGGATCTCGAACATTGTCGCCTTCATCACCACGGGGCAACTGCCCGAGGATGAGGCCCGCACCAAGCTGGCAAAGCTGAGGGCTCCCAGCTACGCTATTGAAGGCAGAAGGCTTTACAAAAGGTCCTACAACGGGACATTACTTCGGTGCCTTCATCAAGATGAAGCCGAAGTGGCGATGGAGGAAGTGCACAGTGGCACTTGTTCAGCTCACTAGGGACCCTTCTCCATGTCCCGAAGGCTAATAATCCAGGGCTACTTCTGGCCAACAATAACCCGGGATTGTGCAGATCTTGCCCGAAGGTGCTCCGCATGCCAACACTTCCAGAAAGCCCTCGGCAGGCCAGCGGTCAACTATGCCCCCATCAGCACATCCATACCCTTCGGTCGATGGGGCATAGACCTTGTGGGCCCTCTACCAAGGGGTACCTCCAACAACAGATACATCATCGTCGCCATCGATTACTTCACCAAATGGGTGGAAGCTAAACCCCTCGCCAGCATTACTGAGGCCATGTGTCGTCATTTTGTTCTCAAAAACATCCTCACAAGGTTTGGCGTCCCCTAACAAATCATCTCCGACAATGGGACTCAGTTTGAGGCAGCCCCCTTATGTGCCCTCCTGGAGGCATGGGGCATCAAACACACCTTCTCATCCGTTGCCTACCCCTAGGGCAACCGTCAGGTGAAGAATGCCAACAGAACCTTGCTCGAGGGCCTAAAGAAGAAACTGGAGGCCGAAGGGGGTGGTTGGGTAGAAGAGCTCCACAACATCTTATGGGCCTATCGAACCACCCCTCGGCAGGCAACTGGCGAGACACCCTTCTCCATTTGCTACGGATTTGAAGCTAAGGCCCCCACTGAGGTAACTCTTCCAACCCGAAGGGTCACACAGTATGATCCAGAGGCCAACGACGCCAATATGGCCCTCGACCTCCACCTTATTTCAGAACGCCGAGAGCAAGCCTTCATACGCGCAGAAAACTACTGAAGACAAGTGAAGAGTTACACTGACGCCAAGGTCCGCTCCCGGGAATTTCAAGTGGGGTATTATGTCCTCCGAAGAAGGGAAGCCAGCCAACCGACCGAGGGCGGGAAGATGGCACCAAAGTTCGAGGGCCCCTACATCGTGGCCGCCATCATCAAACCAGGAACTTACAAACTAAAACGCCCCAATGGGACTGAAGTCCCTAGACACTGGAATGTACATCACTTAGTTAAATTTTATCAATAAACATCAGAGCGGCCAAGCCCTCATAACTAGTGAATGTATTATTTTACGGCCCAAGGCCTAAAAATTCTGAAGAATGAAGGCATTTGGAAGACACCAAGAACATGGAACAGGATTCTTACGAAGGGCCAAGCCCTCATATCACCCCCTGGCCCAAGGCCTTACCACAAGGAAGAACCCTCGGCACCAAGTGCCGAGGGTAGACAATACTATCACCTTCAATAGCAAGAAGGTACCGACTGTCCTTAATGGAGACCCCTCGGCACCCAATGCCGGGGGGACACACCACTGACAACTTTCAACAAATGGAAGGAAACACCAAGTGTTTCCCCAGAAGACCCCTCGGTACCAAGTACCGAGGGTAGACAACACAATAACCTACGACAAACGAAGAAAAAACATCAAGTGTTTCCACAGAAGACCCCTCAGTACCAAATACCGAGGGCCGTACACCGAAACAAACACCAAGTGTTGTTTCTAAAGCTGTACCCCTCGAGGACGCCTATACCAAAGGCGCCACTTATCGGTGCCGGTAGCACGTAGTGCCCCCCGGCCATTTGCAACCAGTGTGCAAATGAAAACCCTTCCCTGAAACGCTTTCCGCGTCATTACCCCAAGGGTATGACAAGCACCAAATATGCCTAGGATTCGACTTTCAAAAACGGACCGCTTTCCGCGCCATTTCCCCAAGGGGTTGGCAGGCATCTAAAATGCCCAGGATTCGACTTCCAAATCGAAACGCTCCCCGCGCCACTACCCCAAGGGTGTGGCAGGCCACGGACTTTGTCTAGCGCCGAGGGGACGACTTTCAAAACTGAGACGCTTTCCGTGCCATCCCCCAAGGGGAGGCAGGCTACAGACCACCATATCTTGTACCCAGGAAACGACCCCTGATCCCCTCAGAACTCGGAAGGTTAACCCGAGGGGGGAGCTAATGGTGTATTCTGTTACCTCCCGATAGGCCAAGCCTTACCAAGAAACCAAGTTTCTTGAAGCCTTCCCTTCACTACAAAAAAAAGAAAAAAATGGGGTGGTGAAGGGGAGTAGACTCAGCGAGAAATCAATGAGTACACCATTCCAACAAGTTCACGAGGACGTACCGAGGGCTCCCTATGGGAACGCCTTCGGTACCTGGAAGCTCATAAGTACCAAAGATACCATTCACAACAGACATCATCAACAAATGGCTAAGTCCACTCCATAATTACCTCCGGCTATATCTAAAACGAAGGCTCAAATCCTACAAAACATGACAGGCTCAGCCAACAACAACTCAAAATGTCCCTGAAGGCTACTATATAACAAAGCTATCAGATGGTGGCCAAATCAAATCAAGAATCACCTCCGGCACCTCACTACATGCCGAGGGGATACATCCAGACAATTCCCGAAGGCGGGTATCCATTCATCAAAAGGAAGAAGGAGTTAAAATGTATATTACAAAATGGCCGAAGCCGAGAGCATACAAATATTCATTACAACAAGATTGTTCAGAATTTTCTAAATACTACACAATAACAACATCATCAGTTACAGCAGCATCGCCTCCGTCGGCAGGCTTCGATGTAGCATCCCCCACAGCATCCTCTTCCTCATCACTGCACTCCGCCATCAGGACGGTGTCCTCGAGATCTGGCCTGCTAGTGCCCTCGGGGAGAGGAACTCTTGTGTCTGGCTGAAGAGGGGGGAGCCCGTAAGCCGCGGGGTCAGATGCAGACGGGTCCGCTCCCAGGTGCCTGGCCAGCCTCCGGTAGATGACGGCTTGAGTGAAGTACTCACCCCCATCGTAGTATTCTTTCCCCTTCTGGGCCAGCCACATTGCCCCGGGGCCCCTCACCCATTCCTCCACGGAGGCCTCGACAACCGCAGCCACCCACGCTTTCTGGGCCTCGGCTTTCCATTCCTCGGCGACGAAGGCTGCCACCGCTTCCCCCACCGCCTCTTTCTTGGCGATCTCAGCGTCTTCAGCAGCCTTCTTGGCGGCCTCAGCGGCTGCCTTCTCAGCTTCAGCCTTCCCCTCGGCTCTTGCCAGCACCTTGGCATTCTCAAGGAGTTTTTCGAAGGCCGCCCTCTCGACCCTGGAAGCCTCTTCTGCCTCCCGAAGCTGCCTTTGGGCCACAACCAAGGACTCATCATCATTCTGCTTCTGGAGGGCATAGTGTTCCATCCGCTGGGTGAGCTCACCGAGGCCGAGGCTTGCCTGCAGAAAGGGTCACAGATCACCGAAGGTTAAAACCACAATACAAAAAAAAGAAGAACAAAAAAAGGGGAGGAGGAAAGGGGAACTTACAGTGACCGAAGCCTGAAGGATCTTGGAACAGAGGGCGTCATCGGTTTGCCGAGAGAGCACAGATTTATCCGTCGGGGGGTGGCCCCCCTCAGGAACTCCCTCGGGTTCAACGTTGCGTGCATAATGGCAGTCCCCTTAGTAATGGAGAACTGCACATTATCTTGGGGCCATGCTAGTCCGGGGGCTTGGGCCGGAGGCTCGGAGGAGGAATGCTCCTCCACAATAACAAACGGGGCCTCTTTCGGCTCGGGCCCCCCATTCTTCTGCTTCTTCCCCTCCGGGGGCACCACGGCCTTCCCGGCCCATTTCCTCTTCAACGCCTCAGCAGGGGAGCCCTCGGCGTTGGAACCTGCGTCGTCGTCGGCGACAGTTTTCTCCTTGGGCACACTCTCCTTGGCCCCGTCATTCGTGCCCGCCCTCGGGAAGATCTCATCCAACCCCCTCTGTTGCGCCGAGGGGTCCTTCTTTTTGTTCTCCTTTGCGAGTTGCTTCTTCAACTTGGAGAGATTCCGGGCGTCCATGTCTGGTCCTGAAAGGCAAAGGAAATGCAGAAGGGTTAGGAGGATAATACCACAAAAAAGAGAGAAAAACATATTCTAAGTATAAAACGGGAGCCCTCGGCAAGTTGACTACCTCCGGCGCTTTGATAAACTCTATCGACGGGGGGATATCTCTCGTCGCTTTCCCCCATCAACCGATACCACCGAAAGCCCAAGTTGTAAAGATCGTCTTGAAGGGTAGCATCCCTGATCTTGGCATGCTTATCGGACCCCTCGGGCTTCTTGGAGAGCTTCCTTCCTTTTTTTCTCCAAGGCGGCGCTCCCTACCTTGACGTGCCTGCGGAAGCTATCACGGAGTGGGGCCTGGAAGGGATTCTCCGCCATCCGAATGTAGCAGAACTTATCTTTCCATCCCTTGTGGGACGAAGGGATATCATCGAAGAGCCTGAACTCTGGGAGCTGCTGCAGGTTGGCGAAGCCACCGGCATTCGAGTGCCCCCCCCCCCCCCCCCCCCGCACAGATTGAAAGAGAGGAAGAATTGGTCCAACGAAGGCTCCACATCCCGGCTCCGGCAGAGGGAAAGGAAGCCAGCCAAGTAGGAGTGGCTGTTCGGGGTCAATTGGCAGGGAGCAAGCTTGACATACCGAAGGTACTCCACCACGAAGGGATGGAGGGGGAATCGGAGGCCCAACTCCACCGAAAGCAGATGCACGGCAAAACAACCGGCGGGAGCGTATAGCAAAACATCATCTGGCCCCGGCTCCACTACCAGTGCCGAGGGCCCTACCAAGAGCTGTGTCGCCATGTATTCTCCCTGTGTGGCTCGGGTCTTCACGTCCAAGGCAGCAGTGTTCAGGTAGGAGTAGCCTTCGGGAATTCCTACTGGTTGCCCGGCGTTGACGGCAGCCTGTTTTTTCTTCCCGGCGGCCTTCGCCTTTCTCTTCCTCCCAAGGGCAACGTTGATAGGCGTCGAGTTTAGTGGCTGAGAGCTTTCGGCCTCTGCATTCCGAGAGGAAGGGACAGCGACGGTGACCCTCATGCTTTCCTTTTGGGCCTCATCCTCAGCCACTTGAAAGGCAAGTGTCAGCTCCTCGTCCTCGCACACCTGCTCGAACTCCTCCGCTTCCAATTCTAGCCGAAGGCTTGCTTGTACCTCCTCAACCACCACAGAGTCCTGGTTGACCGAGGTGCGTTCGCTCGAGGACTCCGCTTCAGAGAAGCTTTCGACTCCTACCGGAGGCTCCCTCGAGACGTTTTGAGAGTCACTTTGTGAAGACATCCTCAACAGCTAAGGGATGAGGGGTTTCTAAGGCAGGAGGCTTCCTAAGGCAGTTAAACACTTAACCTAAGGCCACACAACTACGACTCACTAATGCTACAACAGATGGGCGGAGAACTGACCTCTGAAGATTGGTTGATCGAAGGCAGCTGTTTCTCTCTCTAGGAATTTTGGCAGAGCTCCGCTAACACAAATATCGCACAAGGGGGAAAGTGGCCTGGCCTTGGGGTATTTATAGGTGCCTGGATCCGGGCTTGGGCCTGGAAACCGGGCCTCCGGTTGAACAGCCATCATTACGAACCGTCGAACTGCCCAATCAGTGACGCCCACCCACAGACAGCCAACGAGCACGCACCACGTGGAAGCCCCCCCCCCCCCCCCCCCCCCAACGGCTATATTTTGACGTTAGGTATTCCAACGGCTATATTTACAACGGCTATATTCTGGGAGCTCCCGGCTACATTCAACAGACCTCTCCTTCATCAACCAAGAAACTAGCCCCCGAGCTTTTTACTTCACTCCACTTCATCAAGAGGAGCCCCCTGGTGCACTTACCTAGAGATGCTCCCGGTTTATGCCCCTCACACTACATAACAAATGCCTTCGGGCTCGCTCCTTCAGAAGCCCGCGGCTTCATAACGGGCACACCCCTCGGGAATTCCCCCCTCAATACCTCGAGGACCAGGTAGCCCCCGGGGAGTACACCTCATTAACGGATAGCCTACGACACACAGGTAACGGGAGCCCTCGGATACCCTCCTCACCAATTGATCAACAAACAGGAACCCCCCCGGTAACACTTCGACTACTACTCACATTCATCACACCCTCGATCCCCGGATTGAGGGAATCCCCTTCGGCACCTCCAAGGATATCAACAGCAAGCCTCCGGCTAATCAACACACACACCCCCAGAGCAAGGATAGCCTTCGGCATCAGCATTGTACTCCATTTCAAACCAGGGCTTCACATTTTCGATTCATCGTTAGGGGAATTCGGTGCACTCTTTTTCCCTCATTGGGATTTTTTCCCACAGGGTTTTTTCCTAATGAGGTTTTTAACGAGGCATCCCCCCAAAATGAAACGAAAAGCGTCAGCCTTTAGCCCAATACAGCAACATGATTACTCTACTCCTTTTCACCACTTTGCAAGTCCCTCAAGGAGTGGGGGACTGGAGAACCCCCTCGGGAAAATTCACAAAAGTGCAAAATGCTAAAAACTCCCGCAAACAGCAAACATGCCCCCTCATGTCCCGACATGTGGGTAACTGAGGGACTGCCCTCGGCAGAATAAACAAACAGCAAACTACCCACAAACTACAACGGAACAACAGCAAGCCACCAACTCGAACTGAAAATTATTTTTAAACATCCAATTTCGTAAACAACAAACCATAAGGAGATCAAGTCTTCAAGACTACTAATAAAAATACAAGACTAAATGTGTGTTAACAAATACAACTAAAATTGATATACAAAACATCGGTATTAACAAATCTCCAAGATAAAACTCTAGATTTAAACCGAGTTTCATAATTAATCTCCATCTCTAAAAAGCATAAGCTGCTCAAGTGTACAACATAAGTAAGTCTTCAGTTTCAAGATGTGTTTTATTTCCCTACAAAAATGAAAGTTGACAGACAGTATAAAAAATCTATTGCATTGCTGGGACATAACATGAATAAAAAACAAATAAAGTGATGGAAGAACATAATAACTCACTTAAACTTGAAACAAACTAATTCCAGAAGAAAAGCAATCACCCTAGGAGCTAATGAAGGATTTATAAACCTCTTCACATTCCTAGCCTACCTTCAGAAAATTTCTGAGACTATCTTTCTATTTTTGCTCTTCTTTTGATCACAACATAACTACTCCTGCCCAACTTCAAGAACTCCATCAACTTATGATCCCTTCTGCTGCATGCCAAAACCTCCCCATACTAACTTGCATACAATTATACGAAGTATCAAGAAAAAATGGACATAATTTGTAAGACCAAGCTAGTATATGCTAAGTGCTAACATAGTAACATACATATATAATAATTACAGAAACCATAAAAGCATGTGTCTTTTTCTCTAATGACAGAAATAAACTTAGCAATTAAAAAATGTGGGTTGTGCCAGTTTTTCTCCTAATCTCATTTAGTTAGTTTAAAAACCAAAACCCCATTATTTAATGTGTGCCAAATTGTTTATGCTAAAATAAACTAATCTAAGAATGAATTGGTAATCGAACAATTACGAATCGTCAATGGACTGATTGCAAAATAAAAGTATATAAAATATGAATTGAATCTATTGGAATATCTTGTACTCCCTCAGTCCAAATTTGATTTGCAAAATTTCCTTTTTTGGTTGTCCCAAAATAGTTTTCCACTTTCTATTTTAGGTATGTAAATAAGAATAAAGTGACAAATTTACCCTTACTTTTACTTTTTCCTCATTAACTTAAAGGCATCTACTTTTAGAAAGATGGGCAAAAGTGTAAAAAGCAAGTATCATTTATTGTCATTTCTTAATCCTTGTGCCGGTCAAAGTTTGCAATTCAATTCGGGAAGAGGGAGTATATTATTGAGAGCTTGATTACAAGGTATTTGTGCTAGTTTTGATCGTAATGATCATGTTGTACATGGCAACTACGTATCCTATTTATCAGATAGAATTTTACTCCTTCCCTAAGTTTAGGCCTTGCTTCCACCTTTCTCTCCACTCTTAACCGATCATCCCAATTTGCCTTTGACTCAATGATAAACCGGGCGACTCACGTTTATTTCCTTTTGGGCTTGGTCGGGCTTCTTTTTACACTTGACTCTTCAGCCCAACTGTTAGAAACATCACAGGCCCAACACTAGGAAATAAAAGTTGCATCTCCCTCTCAAACACAACATTACAACTAATAGGTACTTGCAACATGTTTTTGTGCACCGACAAGTGGCCCACTCCAGATCTAAACAGGAAAGAAAAGGCATCTAAAGGCAAAAGCTAGGCTCAACAAATTAAAACTCCATTTCACTGAAACATTCTCAAATTTAAACTGACTCAGACATATGCAGCAGCACTAATAAAACAACAACAACATCCAAGCCTTAAACCCAAAAGATTTTGGATGCAGCAGTACTAATATTAAATATATTTATTGCTTGAATTCCATTGCCTAAAACTAAAAGGGTAAAGAAAAAGAGAAATGTTTGTGTGTGCAACTGATGCAGAATTGCAGATCAATATAAATATTCAATATATATACCTGACTCTTTCAACCAAGTCTCTTCAACACGTGAAACAGACTCTTCAATCACAGGCTGCTCACGTGCTCCCAATAGATTGATTTTTTTCTGTTTTTAAATGGTCCAGAACACTCGCCGCATAAATTGATGATTGAGCTTTTTCATTTTGAGTATATGATTTGCTCTTAGTGGAGTTACTTTATGTTCCAACTGCATCCACACCCATGGGTTCAGAATCAACTTCAATCGAATCACTTCTTCCTCACCCAAGCACTCTTCACCAGTTTCTTTCGGATTTATGTCTGACATCTATTAAAAGAAAAGACAAGTAAAATTAAGTGTATAACAAAAAAAAGCATATAAAGGCAAAAGCTTGGCTCAACAAATTAAAACTCCAGCTAACTGAAACATTTTTAAATTTATACTGACTCAAATATATGCCATAATTCAGTATTGTTGATGTCTGACATCTATTAATAGAAAAGATAAGTAAAGTTAAGTAGTATGTAACAAAACAAAAGAATGCTTACTCCACACTAAGCGTCTGACCAAGAGAATATGTTAAAGAGTTCAGGTACAGATTGTAAAATTGATGATATAATGCTTCATAAAATTAAATAGAAATAATATGGCCGATAAGGTTTGGATTAAACTAACTAATTGGTTGAAGTAATCAAACTGTAATCTAGTAAGGATTTTTTTTACTTAGACTGCTTTCAGTTACAGATCAGACTTAGATAGTTATAAAAATACAAAGAGACCAGACCAGACCAAACATTACCAGACCAGACCAGCAAATTACAGTCCAAGTAAAAACATCCTAACAAGCACTAATCGTCTAATCCTACTCAGAACAAAAAAACACATTTTATCCCACCTTTTAGTTCACTCTCCAAACCACAATAATTTCTTGATACAAGTAAGTTGTCCACAACACTAAAAAAGTAGATTTTTCTTCTTAAAGCTTCTCAACACCCAACGGGGAACTGGCAAAAAAAATGTCAAATGTAGGCAATTCTAGTTTCTAATTCTTCACGACTCATAGTGATATTATTTCATACATATTCTTGAAAGTGGAAGCCCAGTTATATCAACAGAGCGAAGTCAAAGCTCTATTTGTTCGTTTCAGATATGCCAAAAGTCACGACTCATATCAGTGAAAAATTCCCCTATCTCCGTGCGGGAGAGAGTGAGACACCCTAACTGGGAAGTTCCAAAATTCAGTAAAGGGGTGCATACAGCTTATTTAACAAAAAGGAAAATCGAGAAAAAATGAATAAAAGCAAATAGAAAAAGTCACAAATATATCTGTATATTCAAGGTGATTAAATCAAATATTGAATTTGAGAAAAGGAGCTTGAAGAATGAAATACCTGGATATGGAGCAGAAGAGATCGATCGCCTAGATTAAATCAGACCAGCAGCTCTGGAGAAAGATGGAAGAAGAAAGGCATGGTTTTCTCTGGGCTGGTTGAGCGGCTATGGTAGCTGGATAGATGACTTTGGTAAACAGATGCTTATTAATTTTAAAATGGTGAACCGATCGTAAACCATTTTTTCATTTAAAAGGTTAATTGTACCGTGATTTTTTAAAAAGCTACACAGTTAACCGGAAAAATAATGGTTTTTTGTTTTTTTAAACGGATACGCGGTTATGGTTTTTTCTGCCCACTCCTAAATGCAAATAGAAATGGGTGCAAATTCACCATCCATTTCATATCCAGCCAACTTCATATCACTTGTCAGCAAATCCAGGTTTGTATAAATGTCAGTGCACCTAGGATGAGCTTTGTCCCCAACAAGAAACATATGCACCTCAGAGTTCACCTCAACCCAGCTACACCCAGGCTCCTTCTTCAGACACCCAAAACGCATTTCCTTCCTCAAATCTGCAACCCGTTCCTGCATTCCTGCATCGGCATAAACGTTACACAGAAGAATATATGTAGCTGAGTCTGTGGCGTCCATCTGCAAAAGAGAATTCGCAGCCACTTCAGCCACCTCAACATTCCCATTCATTTTGCAGGTACTAAGCAATGTTCTCCAAGTGACATCATCAGCCGTGAAGGGCATCTCCTGGATAACCATGAGAGCATCAGTCGCCCGACCTGCGCGTCCTAATATTTCCACCATGCATGAGTAATGCTCTATTTGATGCTCCAGCCCATACTTCTCCCGCATCATGTTGAAATAATGCAACCCCTTCTCGACGAGCCCCATATGCACACACGCACGGAGGACTGCGAGAAAAGTTGAATGGTTTGGCAGAACACCTGCTCGTTCCATCCCTTTGAAAACCTGCAAAGCTTCTGCGGCGAAACCATGCTGAGCTAACCCACATATTATGGCGTTCCATGTCACCATATCTCTTTTCGGCGCTTTCTCAAACGCCAACGTGGATGCTTCAAGATTCCCACACTTTGAATACATGTCTACAAGAGTGCTGATTATATAGGCATCTGAAAGCAAGTCTTGTTTGATGATTTGGGCATGGATTTGCTTCCCGAGTCCAATGGTCGCCATATTAGCACAAATATCAAGCACTGTTGCATAAGTGAAGTTATCTGGTTGCACACCCTCCTTACTCAACATTTTAGAGAAGAAATTTTGGGCTTCCTCACTTCTCTCGTGCATTGAGAACCCAGAAATCATTGAGTTCCAAGAAACAATGGTTTGTTCATTCATTCTGTCATGAAGCTTCTCAGCCTCTTCTAGCTCACCACACTTGCAATACATATCCACAACAGAGCTTCCCACAAATGAGTGAAATCCCAATCCGGACTTTATGAGTCTTCCATGAATCTCCTCCCCATGTTGCAGGGCCTGTTTGGTTGCACAAACTTTCATAACACTGCCATAAGTGAACTCATCGGGTTCCATTTCCGACCGAATCATCTCGAAAAAGAGAGTTAAGGTTTCCTCTGTGAGCCCATTCTTCTCATATGCCGCAATGATGGCATTCCAGGAAACGGCATCCCTTAACTCCATTTCATCAAACTGACGCCGGGCCTCAAACGGTCCTCCACATTTCCCGTACATGTCAAGAACGGCATTTGCTACAGTAATGTTGGATTTAAAAGGGGTCTTAATCGCTATTGCATGGATTTGAGTTCCCAGTGAAAGCCCTTTGACCCCTGCACAAGCGCTGAATACGCCAGATAAGGTTATTTCATCAAAACCAAGACCAGACTTGATCAAAAGATGGAATAACCTTAAAGCTTCAAACTTTTCATTTCCTCGAGCATACCCAACAATCAATGCGTTATGAGATTGCAGAGTGCGGATTGGCAAGAGGTTGAATACCTTCCGAGCTTCGATTAACTTGTCGCATTTAGCATACATGTCCAGAGTGGAAGTCCCTACAATAATATCAGATGCAAAATTGGTCTTCAGTGTATGACCATGCAATTGGGAACCAAAACTTAGGTAAGACAACCCTGCACAAGATCTGAAGAGAGTAGCATAAGTAGACTGGCAAACATCAACTTCTTCATTTTGCATCTTTTTGAAAAGCTGTAGTCCATCAAAAAGTTGGTTGTTTTGAACATGGCCTGCAATCAAAGCACTCCAAGCAACAGAATTCTTCTCTGACATGTCACTGAAGAAACACACTGCGTCATCTAATCTCTTACACTTGGCATACATGTCCACAACCGCAGTTCCAATCATCATATCCATAATTAATCCCATTTTAGTTACCAAACCATGCACCTGCAGCCCTAAACCAAAATCATCCAAAGCTGAGCAAATTTTCAGTAAAACAGCAAAAGAAGTTCTATCAAAGGAAACATCTTCTTTCCCCATTTTCACAAAAATTTCAATAGCTTGTGTATGATCTCCATTCCGCAAATACCCTGACATCAAAGTATTCAGGGATATGACATCTCTATTTGGCATCAGATCAAAAACCATTTGTGCCTTACTCAAATCACCAACCATCGAATGCCTGGAAATCATTGCATTCCATGTCACGGTGTCTCTTTGAGGCATCCTATCAAACACTTTATCAGCATAGTTGAAACAGGAGCAGTTTATGTACATTTGAATCAAACAATTGGTGACAAATACGGTGGGTTCGAACCCAGAAATGATCATTTGAGCATGGGTTTGTTTTCCAGCGAATGTGGCTCTTTGCCTTGAACATTCTTGGAAAATGTGAGAGAATGTTCTGTTGTAAGTGGAGAACGATTGGGAGGCTGCAAATGTAGTCGCTGTACGGAATGGTACTGAATGTTGAAATGGAAACCATCTCAATGAAGGCTTTGGTGGAAGTAATAATAGCCTGGTCATGTATAGCTGGGAACCCATGGATTTTCAGATTCATGCTTGGTGCCAGTTCTTTGACTGCTTCTGGACCACTCCGCGAGTTGCTATCATAAGAGCGTTCCAAATGGCTCGTTTTAGACAACCGAACATCAGGGTTGTTCAGCTTGGTGGCATCCAACTCATACATTTTGGACTTTTTACCATTACTACCCTCCCATTGAACGTTGTCAAGTTTGCATTACCTATGTGGAATAAGAATAACAATTTTTTTATAGTTAAGAGTTATACTGAGCATAGAAACAAGCAGAACAATAAAGAAAGTCAGAAAAGTGCAAGAGAGAGTATATCATTTTAAGGAGTATATATTTTTCAGTATACCTGAGTCCTGGAAGGCTGGACAGAGAGGCACAGGCAGAGCCACAGCGAGCTACAGGACGGAGTGCCGGAGTCCGAAGGGACGGCGAAAGCCGACGGACGACGCAGGGCCGACGGCGGGCTGAGGCGCGGCTGGGCGTCTGTTTTCGTGTCTTCGTCGCAGCGTCGCTTGTGTGGTTGTAGACTTGGGGTGAGCGGGACTTTATATTTGAGATGGGCTGGATTATACCTATACGATAAAAAACATTTGGGCTGGGCCGGATAGACTAATTCGCTGATTCGACATTTCCAAGCGCCTATCTCTCTTGCGCCGCAATCCTCTGCTGTGAAATTGCAGCAAGAAGTGTGGGTAAATTCTACACCGTGAAGAAGAATTCTGGAAGAAGATAAGGACTGCGCTTGGCCTGATTCGAGGTGCGAACCAGTTTGGAGTCTTCAACTTTCACTTCCCAGGTATGCTATCATCACTTGGCCACCGGTTTTGAGGTCAAGTTGACTTGTTCTTCACAACATATTTTGGCTTCTTCTCATTTTCATCACTCTTGGTTTTGGCCTAATCCTGTTTGGTTTACTACCTCACACATACGATCATGGAAAACAAGATTAATCAAACGTTTATAATGATTAGCAGGCAGTTCATTTATACTATCAGGGACGCCAAACAGCTACCCGTTAGGTTTCACTACGTATAATTCTCCCGCGAGCCGGATAAACTGCTTATACCCTAGAAGTAAATTTTAATTTGAAATATCAGTACAATTTTCAATAGAAATCCGCACAATTTTTCATGTAATTAAAATTAAATTGTGATAGAAGTTTTTTTTTCTTTTTCCAGATCAGTTAAATGTCATTCTTGCAAAAGAATTATTTGGTCATTTAATTTGTCAACCGAAAAGTAGATTGGGTGCAAAGTTTTCGTGTGTCATTTAAATCTATTTAACAAACCTGAAATTTAAAGATTAGTGTGATCCATCATATGCATAATTCTTCACACCACAATTGTTTACACTACAATCAAAGCTTTGCCACTATGAAGTAGGGGTAATTGCCAGTGATTTAGCCTTACATATAATGCTTTTTCTTATAACTTATATGGCCTAAGATATCACATCGTTGTTACTTCTTTTGTCTAGCAATTTCTGGGCCTCCAGACAAACGCTAGCATTTTTTGTATCTCCACTACTCACAGTTTATATAATAATCAATAGTTGTTAGCTTTAGCCCCAGAAGGGACTCAAATATTCACACGGGTTATTAACACTTACTAGCAGAAGCAATTCTGAAATGCAAATGCAAATCCAAATCTTGACTGCCACCTAAAAAGCAAGAAAAAATCATTTAAATGATAAAAGCCAGAAATTTTGGGGGTTCATAATCAATCAACATTTCAAACAAGAAAAGGTAGTATTCCAAGTAAGGGACATATATGTCACTACTATAATATCCTTTATTTGCAGCAGTTTTTAATTCATTTGTGGCGGGTTTTGACAGCAACAAAAGCATGGGAAGAAAAATGTATACAATCAGATTTGTAGCTGTTGCCGACTGCAGCAATTGCATCTACTTTAATCACGAAAATCTATATTTGCTTTGGTACTAAACAATTGCAGCAACTAGTTACTGTTTTTTGTTACAAGAGGCATCCAAATTGCAGCAGAGTAACTTTACAACTGCAGCAAACAAGGAATTAGAAATTTCAGGGAAATAGAAGAAAATGTTGATTGTGTTCTAAGTCTTGAATAATAAGGTTAATGGCTTGCTGTGGATTCTCAAATGCTTGTAAAAAATAAAGGTTAATGACTTGTTCATACACAGGAAACATATAATAGTCACAAAAATCGTCAAAACCAACCAAACAGGAACACAGGCCTTTATCATATTTCTAATAATTGACGTGTTTTTGTTTTGTGGACCTTGACTTCATTGTACTTCAGAGATCATCTCCCCTTCATATGAGCTTAATTAGTTTAACCGCCTCTACTTTTTTTGGAAGATACAGCTGGGCACATAATACAAATAAAATTGGAAAGAGATATATGTCCTCGAAGAGTATATAAAAAAGACCCCCCTGAGAGGCCAAATAATTTGGAGCCTGGAGTTTATTAGCATGGGAATGTCAGCTGTTAGTACTGCTAGTGTAGGGATGAAGTTATGCATGTTTGATTTGAGAAGGGGACAGCATGAAGGGCAGGAGCTGGAGAAAATCTTGTTCTTCTTTCCTGCTGATTGTCCCTTTTCGTACCAGCTCTCTGTTATTGGCTTAAGTGAAGGCCTCATCACGTTTACAAGAATTTTCTCCCCGGAGAAACCATGCGAGACTATAGAAGCAGAGATGCACTCCCATGTATTTTATGAGGCAGAGCCAGATATCTGGATGGTTATGGTGGTCGAAAAAAGCAGGGAGTTAGAAAGCATTCGGCGGATTGATGGAATACGAAGAGTTCTTATGGAAGTTCACACCCTTTTTGTGATGTTTCATGGATCTGTAAGAACATTACTGGACAAAGAACCAAGCGGAGAACTTGTCAGGACCCACTTGTATTACTTCCTCATAGATTATTTAAATGATTTTCTTGTTGGCAAGAGGCTTCAGTTGCCAAATTTTCGTGATTCCCTGAAGGAACAGGGAACTGTACATATGTTGACTATTGGGAGGGAGGCCGCTCTTGAAGTTCAGTCACTGGTCAGGGTGTTGGAATCTTGTGCTGAGAACACGAGTTGCTATTCGTTGATCTTGTACCAGGACCTGCTGGTGTCAACAACACTTTCTAAGGATGACTTGGTAAATATATTTACCTATGCTGTCTTGAGGCTGACTCCAAATGCTTTGTCTTCTGGCCTGAGCTCCTGGTCTTATTTACTTAAAGGAAATGCTTCATCTAATAACACTGGAGGTTCTTTGTTGGGAAGCTCTACTTCTATACCTGATCAGCATAACGCCTCCTCACACAATAGTTCTCCACACAGTTATCATGTTGTGAGGCCCTTACAGCCTGACAAGTGGTCGAAGGGGAAAGATGGGTTTCTTGTAACTGACCTTTGGGGAGCAGAAGTTGCTTGCACATCAGATTTTGCTGCCCCAACTGTTTGGATTAAGCAGACAGGTGAAAGAGCATATCTTTGTGCTTATCAGCATAAGAGCCTAACTATCGTGCTTCTCATTCCCTTTGCATCTGTGCTCAATGGGGAGCGGGGGGTTTCCATGGTGAAGCAGAACATTTTAGAACAAGCATCAATTAAGGTAATCAAAGTTGAGGAAAAACTATCAAGAGGTTGGGGTGGTGAGAATGCATACCACGTGAGTGGGTACCGCTATTTGCTGGTGGACAGCGATCGATGTATCTCAAGAGCTTCACCTCCAGAAAAAGTATCAACTCTGACTAAGGACTCTTTAATTGCAATGACCAAGCTTCGGGAAGAGGTTGATCTGGAAAGAAACAGATCAAAGTGTGAGGGTCCAAGCAATGAAAAGGATGAGGAAATATGTATCAGAGCCAAAAACACAGCATGGGTAATTGCTAGGTTAACACGAGGGATGGAACTTTACATGGTTCTTGAAAAGGCCAGTGAGACTCTTCTCTATGCCAGCGATGCTGTTGAGAAATTCAGTGACAGGTATTGCAATGGAGCTTTTTCCTTGGACTGAGTGTGTGAGTGTACATGCACTAACCTTCCCAAGCGTGTTGCCTGAGGTTTGGTGCCCAATAGTATTGCTTGAGAACAGAATATGCACTCATTTATAGCAAGTGTTTTAATCATCGATGCTGAAGCAGTAGAGGTAATGGTGTTTCCAAGGAAGCAACAGTTGTTGGGAAGTCAAACAAGCAGTGTCGAAAATGCCACCCTGAAAGTATTACATCTTTTTTACCCATGCCTTAAGTGCACAAAGTTATTCATCCATTAGTCGTAGGATATTAATGAAGAGTCTGGTGGTTTTTGTTAGACATTGGAGTCATCAAGCTGTAACATTTGCACTTGGTCACTAGGTTGGCCACCAATTGCTGGGTTTCAAATGTTAATCGCACACAATCAAGCCATTTATAGAGGTCAGGTTGCAGCAAAAAAAGAGCTTAATTAGTTCAAAGTTAGTAATTGCTTCCTCTTATTCTGTTTTATGGCAGCCTTATCATATGTCCTGATCAAAAGTCATAATCTTATTGTAAGTAAATGTGTTTTGAAATTGCCAAGTAGGGAGGATAGATTATTTATAAGAAAAATAAAAAGTAAAAATATTTGTTAGAACTTTGCAGTTTCTATCTCATTGTCAAATAGCCCCAGAACATGTAACCATAGCGTATTATGACAAGCTGATAGCACCTAATTAGGAACGTAAGTGCAGTATAGAAAGCAAGCATATGCACTTAATAATCTATTCTAGCTACACTGTAAATACATGAAATTTGTTGAAAAATCTTATAGGTAAATTTAATCATTTTCAGAAATTCAGGGCAAAATAACAAAATAAAAATATAGAAAGTAAAAATTACTAAGCTATACGGAACTCATCAACCGGAAGTCTCATAATGTGAATCAGTACATGGATCCAAACTTACAAGTATCTACAAAAACATCTACAAACCAAGGATTATTCCATATTTCATCGTTGTAACTTGTAACTTAGGTCCAGCAAGAAAAATCTTACAAAATTAACTTTACAGAACTATGAAACATATACTAACCTTCATCTCCCACAACAGGAAATAAATGAAGCTCGCACGACCTAGAATTGAATGAAAGAATGTGAGTCATTTTGTGTCTGAAACTGTATTTCATAATAAAACATGATGGGGATTATGAAAAATGATTTTATTGTTACCGAGACGTGAACGTGTGCCTAGTAAATTATCCATGGAGAAATTTGTTGGATTGAGAAACATTTCTCACAATTGAGACTTCATAAGAATGATTTATTATGTGGATGAATCGCAAGACAATAGGCAAAATGACAACAAAATTTAAGAAGGCTCAAAAGAGTTTTGGATCAACTAATTAATATGAATGAATAGGGTTGGACTCGGGCCAGGTGGCCCGACCCGGAACCGGCCCGAGACCGGTACTGTTCCGGCCCGGCCCGAACCGGTGGCCCGGTCAGTGACCGGTCCGGGTAGGCCCGACCCGGTGGGTTTCCGGTCCGGGCTCGGGTCACCCATAACAAGGCCCGGCCCGGCCGGGCCCGGGCCCGGTCGGGCCAAATTTATTTATTTTTTTGGTTTTTTTCATTTGTTTGTGCTCCACCGGGTTGGGCTTGATGTTTAGGAGGGGTTTGGGGGTGGGGGGGTGAGGGGGGGTCAGGGATGGGTAGCTAAGCAAAAAAAAAAAAATTAACCAAACCCGAGGCCCGGCCCGGGCCGGTCCCGGGTCCAGCTATATAGAACCGCCGGCCCGAGTCCAACCCTATGAATGAACATATAAAATAAAGTTAATTTATATGTTCAAAAAAACATGTAACACAATGGACACAGTTTCTTTTGAAGAGCTGAGATTGGGTGTATCTAAGAATATGTTTGGTGACCCTTGTTTTTTTTTTATAAAACGAACTTTTCATCAAACACACGATTTTTGATTTTGCACGCTAGATTGTATAATAATAAAAATAAGTAAGATTAAAAAAAATTATTGAATAGTTGAAGTTACTGTGGTGATTCATTTTAATTAAGGTGGGCATATCAGTTTGGTTTAACCAAATCGTATCAAACCGCACTAAACCGAACCAAAACTGAACCATATGCAATTTGGTTTGGGTTTGATAGTTTTTCTTCCAAACCATATTAAGGCGAACTGAAACCGAGATGGGAGCATACCTTAAATGAGATGGGACCACATACTCTGTAAGACTAATATTTACCATTTAAGTTAAGCTGGTGAGGAGCCGATAGAAAGTTGGATAACACCGGTACCTAGTGGCAGGTCGGTTGAGGAGTGACGTTGCCGCCATAACTTGCCAAATGGTGGTGGCGCTGCTCAAAATGGAAAATGGAGGGAGTCACTAGGTTTTCGTCTGATTATTGCCGTGAAGGACATGAGTCAAATGTAGGTAGAAGAAGAAAGAAAAGAAGATTGAAATCTGAAATGTTAATGGCTATTGTTACAATCATGTTCTTGTAGAAATCAATTCTATGTTAAAAGGGTTAGTTAATTAATAGTTAGTAAACTATATCAATTTATTTGTTATGTTTTAATTGAGTGGCTATAATAGCAAATTGGAGGGTGAGAATAGAATTACCTTTTTTATTTAAATGACTAGGTGTTGTTTGTTGGAAAACATAACCCAATATGAAGTTTGTTGTACTCCGTATGTTATAAAAAAACTTGAAACATATTGTACTAAGACTCAATGTTCTAAAAGGCGTAAGGTGTGTCGAGGCGGCAAGACCAAGTGTTAAGCCTTTGGAGCCTAGGCGAGATTAGGCAGGACTTAGGCGTGAAAAGGCGTTTTATTTTTTTATCCTTTATTTTAGTTTATCTAAAGCTATTTTACATAGTTATATATAATATTAAATAACGTTATTCAAAAACATCATACTTTCTCATTTTCAACAAAAAAAGATATGTAGGAGTCCTATATCTAACAAATACGGAGTTTAAAATAACTAATTACACAAAAACTGGAACAAAAACGAGTAGTTTAATGATAAAATATTAATATTAGTATAAATAAATGATCCTAGTATATGACCAAAATAAGGACAATAGTTAAAATGTGACTTGGTAACTTTTAGTGATTATAATTTTAATAACACTCAAAAAAATTATTATAGTGAATATGAGAATATATTTATAGTCACTCCAATCTTATTTTTCGTTCATAAATTTTACTATTATAATGATTTAGAAAAAACTCTTTAAAAAATGATAATGGTGGAGATATTGATAATTATAACAATAAAATACAATACTAATAATAAAGATGATAAGAATTCTAACAACAATAAAAAATAATCTAAAGCAAACTACGTCTTAGGGTATATTGATATAAGGATACACATATTCACATTTCCAAAGAGTTGATTGATGCAAAATTTGATGGGTGACTTTCTGGATCCGGAGTACTCCCTAGTGCTCATTATACTACTAATTAGTCCCACACCGGAAGAAAAGGAGACATACTACTACCAATGTTTCTATATAACACGGAGTACTCCTTGAGTTGCTAATCGTACGCAACGCCTTGAGAATCAATGTCACTCGCTCCTATGCAATTGTCAACCACGGGATGTGAGCATATGTTTAATCATACAGAGTATTTATTTATAATAATAATAATAACAATTATTGGTTGGCGGGCCGCCTTTTCTCACGCATAAATAGGTATGCGGGGCTTCTTGGCGACGCCTTGCGCCTATGCCCGCATAGGCGGCACCTTTCAGGGCTTTTTAGAACACTGCTAAGACTGCATATATCATCCTTCAATTCTCGAGTTTTAAGAAATATAATCTACTATAGTCATTAAAATGGTTGTTGGTCATAAAACATTATCCAACATTATTATGACCATTCTTTCAAAGAAAAACATTATTATAACCATTATAATGTATATTAACTTTGTCATTATAAAGCATGTAAATACATTTTGAAGTAATGACCATGTTCTGAAGTTTTATAAACTTACCCTAATTAAGAGATGATTGTTAAATCATTATGAAACACGCATTAATGTGTATCAAACTTAGCAATTGGGCAAAACAAGTATAAAATGTAGATGCTGTTAATGGGGGACTTTATACGGCTATACCCTTCAAAGCTCCTCGGACACAATCTCAATGCATTAAAAAAACTTAGTATTACTTTTATTTTTTATTTTCTAACTCGTCCCATATTCCCATCACCAATTTCTGAACCCAATCAATCCACTGCTGCATCTAATGGATTAACCTTGAACACTTGAAATTTTTCCATGTTAGCCTTTATCATCATCTAGTCTAGTTATAACAAACCGAAAGTTCTCTTTGTTCTCTTGTACAAAGAATGTCATCTACCAAAGTTCTCATTCACTGGGAAAACCAAACCCAGTCGATGTCATTAATTTCGTACGTCTTACACTCCTATGCAACATAATAATAAACACTCTAGTCGGGGCAGCCTTCTTTAGCCATATGTATATGCACACCTTCTAAAAATCTCACTTCACTCTATGTACTAAATAACCAGTTGGCATCCACTTCGGCTTCAGGGCTCACCTTGGACCGGAGAGCTCCATGGCTTGAGCAAGCACAGAAGAGTCATTAATGACATCTGAAAAACGCTCCGGTGATGAGAACATGTGTGTCATCACGTACTTCTGTGACTGTTCTGCTTTGTGAGATGCTTCCCATTTCTCCGCAAGCCCATTGCCTTTGAGCACTCGAACCACTTCAGACATTTTGGTCCTATGGCCCCGAAGATAATGGGTGCATAGTAAAGAACCTTGCACCATTTCCTCTATCTCTATCTCATCATATTTGCCTCTCAAGCCTACTTGGTTCACAAGTATATCAAGGTTCTTCTCTGAATTTTCTTAACCTGGTATTTCGATCTGTTGCAACCAAACGATACATTAATTTCCAATAATAAATGGAACATCATTAATTGAGAAAAGTAATAAACCTGAAAACTCAGAATATCAATTTCGAATGTTTTACAAAGCGCTAGGTTCCTCTAGGTGGAAGGGTTATGACAAAGTGCCTGATTAGAGATGAGTTAAGATTAGGCTTGCTCTAAGTAGGATTAGGTGGGTTTCGACAGGAAATACATTGAAGCAGTGATTAAATGAATCTGGTTTTTCTATATAGGTGGAGGGTGGTTGGATCAACATGGGTCCACCACTTTATATGTGGGGTCCACATCAAACGGCCGACGTAAGTCAGACACCAATCCTAGGTTTGAGGGCCATAGGATCGACACAGGCCCCACTACTTCAAATTTGGGATTAGGTACATTTTTAGGGTTGAAGCCTTGAAGGCCAACCGATCAAACACGGGCCACTTATACAGCCAATGGTTGAATCTAAGGCAATGACTAGCTTGGGGCTATTGTGTTTCGCAGGAATCGCAGAAGACTGGTTATCTGGAAATTAAAGTTAACGTAAATAATGTCAGCTCAATCACAAAACAAACATGTACATGCCGGTTCTTCATGGCCCGTTTGCTAAGAGGTGTATGGCTGAATTAGCTGAATTTCCCAAAAAGAAAGATTGTTTAATAGAATTAAATTCAGCCAACCACATACGTGAAAGGCTCTACTTACTTATGCTCTGTTTGGTAGCTAAATTTCTGCTAATATTTGACATGATTGGCTGGAACGCTTTACTTTTAGAAAATTCAAGATTCAATCATTTAAGTCAAATAAATTTACCTAAATGGCTCTTATATAAGCAAAATGAACCGTTCAATACTACTAAAGAGGCTTTTAAGCGAACAAAATTATATGCAAGAAAAGCATATAACAAATCCATACTTCCTGAAGTGTATACTGGCATTGACATAGGCAGCATAGTCATGCCTTTGCAGTATGACTCGGACCTGGTGACACATATCAGAGGATTTCCTGCAATGCTGCAATTAACATGGAAAGAATGAAGAATGTACTTAGCCATACAAGAAATAGAATGAATACATGAAATGTTTAAACTAAGTCAATGCTTGGCAAGCCATGATGGAACATAATGTAATGTAAAGCAAATGCATGATTGTATCTATAATAAAATTACATTAGAGAGTAGTGACGTTGTGAATTCACCCGAAATTTTGAATTTGTGGTGGGCCCAAGAAATAAATTCAAATAATACATATTTTCTCCACTTAAATTTTAAACAAATAAATATAGGTTTACAGAACTTAGGGTGGGCCATGGTCAGCCCCTATCTACAACAACATTACCCCAGTGCCACAAAGGCTCCCACCTACTCAGTTTCTCGGATGTTGAGTCTCCTAATTCACACAATAAACTTTATTATTATTATTTTTATGGAGATAACACAAAGATTACTACAACATATGAGCTGGAAGCTCAATATATACCTTCAAAGTTTACACCTTTAGGAGATAACAAACCAATTGTAGAGCACAGAATCTAAGAAATAAGACAGGCTATAACACAGCCTTTGTTTCTATCCTCATTAGTACTAATTAAGTAATACTCCTGCGGCAGAAAAGGCTGGTAGAAGCTAGGTAGAACCACCCTGCCATCGGATATGAGTTTCTTGGGGGTGTTAATCTAATAGAAGCATTTCTGAAGTTTAACAAATGCTTACATATACTTGAGCCTTTGCAAGTGCACCCAGAGAAGATGGGATTTTCCCAGTAAAAAGATTGTTGGAAAGATCAAGAGATAGAAGATTAGAGTGGTGTCCAATCTCATCTGGGATGAGTCCAGTTATGTTGTTGTTCTGTAAGAATCGGTCAATCACATTATCACTTATTAAAGCGTCGATGATTATTTTAATTAAAACTAAGCAGCGTGATCTTTAGAAATTAGCACTTACATGGTCTGGATGTTTGTCAAGTTTACCATGTTTGGAGAGAGCTTTCTAGATAAGCTCTGGCTTGGGGCTCATCTGCACATGAACAAACCCCATCAACTAAGGGTCTGTTTGGAAATCAGCAAATCTCATGGCAAAGAAAAATGGAAATTTTGGAATGAAAGAAAAAATAGAGGAGAATTGAAAAAAAGGATAAAATTAAATGTTCCATAAAATTTGATCTTTTTCCAAGAAAACCTAAACATGTCATAAAATTGCAGAGAAATTCTGGGTTTTTTAAAAAATAAAAAGATTGAAAATTTTTAATAACTTACAGTCCAACAGCTGAACCATCTCCAGAGCAAGTAACCATGGACCAGCTACAAGGATCAGCAGCGTTAGAATCCCATCGATCAAGAACACCGTGAAGGTCTTTCAGACAGGCTTTTATATTCATTAAAGCTTGAAGTGAGCACACATTTCAGCGGAAAAGAAAACAGAAAAGAAAAAAAAAATAAGATTTTAAATCTTTTTTATGGAGATAACACAAAGATTACTACAACATATGAGCTGGAAGCTCAATATATACCTTCAAAGTTTACACCTTTAGGAGATAACAAACCAATTGTAGAGCACAGAAATCTAAGAAATAAGACAGGCTATAACACAGCCTTTGTTTCTATCCTCATTAGTACTAATTAAGTAATACTCCTGCGGCAGAGAAGGCTGGTAGAAGCTAGGTAGAACCACCCTGCCATCGGATATGAGTTTCTTGGGGGTGTTAATCTAATAGTGGTGAGATAGGAGAAAAGCTCAAGTCTTATTAGTAGCATCCTACTATGGTCTCTCTGTCAGACCTAATAGTAGCTTCCTACCATTGTCTAAAAATAATGACAGGAAACATCCCAAACTCAGTCCTCTTCATCATCATCATCATCATCATCATCATCATCATTGTAACCAAAACCATCATCATCTTCCCCATCACCAGAGGCATCTCCAAACTGATTTATTTGCACATTCTTGAACTGTTGGATAGCATCTCTTGCATCAAAGATGAGAGCACTCTTTGCAGCCTGAATTGTTTTTGCATCTACTTTTTGTTGATCTACTTCATCCTTGACTTGGTTATGCTTTGACTTTCTTATAAACGCAGCTTTCCTCTTAGCCTCCCTGCAAAGCAACTGATCAATGTATCTGTCATGCAAGGCTTTGTTCTTGATTGGCTTTAAAACAGGAGGGCTAAAGAGAGTGGTTGTGGTCTCCGCCAAGTTACTTAACCGTGCAAAGTTACTTGGGCGATCTAACTTCATCTCAGGGGTAAGTACTTCAGAACTGCTGCTAGTTAGAAGATGATAATCTGTTGTTTTTGTTGACTCCTCCTCAAGTAAACTGTAGAGGTCCTTTTCTATAGTATGGTTATCTACCTTGCACTGCTTATTTAACATCTCTCTTAGTGCTTTTTTGGAAATGAGTCTCTTTGGTTTTGGATTAGCCGGTTGAAGCAATTTGCTTGAGCTGAGAGAGGATAAAGGCAATGATGTTGCCTGTCTTGCCCTTGAACGTTGGCAGGGTTGGGGTGGGGTCATGTGATCTGAATGTATCCTGTCAAAGCATTCCTGTGCTGACTTCCCAGGCACCTGTTGAATAAATCTCTTCAATTCTTTTCACTCATAGTTGAAAGTTCAATATTACAAGCAAAAGCACATAAAAAGAACAACTCTGCAACAAATAATTGGATTTCATTCTTTCAAATTACCAGCCCCTTAAGTAGGTCTCCATGGAGGAAGGGTTTCTTAAGTGGTAAATGCTTTAGAGAGTGCCTTATAGTCTATATATCTTTTGATTTTTCATTTTTAGTCCTTCGACTATTGTGCGAGACACTTTTAGTCCTCGACTTCAAAGTTACCCCGCATTTAGTCCCTTGAGTAATATCAAATTGGCACTTAAAGCCCTTCCACTATGATTTTGACAGAGTAAGTGGATGACCAAAAATGTAATTGTTATAATAGTTGAAGAATTAGAAGTGTCACTTTTATGAAAGTCGAATGACTAAATATGAAATTTTTTAAAGACGGGTACTAAAAGTGTCTTGGACATAATAGTCGGATGACTAAAAATGGAAAAAACTCTCTTGATAAATATGATGTTTCTAAAAGCGGCAATAAAATATAATTTAAATGTTATACGAGCAAATAGTATGTTACACCCTGTGTGTGCAAAACTTTGACTGTTAGTTGGTTCAAGCATAATACAGTATTAATTTATAGCATTAAAATTCCCTAGAACAACTTGTTTGAGTATGTATATGTATATATGTCATCATCATCATCATCATTTTCATTTACCCCAGTGCCGCAAAGGCTCCCACCTACGGTGGGGTAAGGGGGGTCAGATGTACGCAGTCTTACCCCTGTACTGAAGCACAGAGAGACTGTTTCCGGATGACCCATAGTGAAAATCGCGTCCAAAATTGCATGGACTGACTGCTGCTTCATAACAAAGAAGCGCAGACAGTTTAGTGAGCCATTTTGCTTTATTCCATCATAATCTCAAGCCAAAAAATAATGTATATGTATATATGTATGTAAATTATATATCATTGAGAAATTTACCATGGATTATATAGGTATGTAATTTTATATACAAAGTTTGACACTGAAAACCATTAAACGAAAAGTAGTAGCTTAATTGTAGGACGAATATGCGCACGAGCATATACACTACGTGCTCCAAAACCATCCATCCAAACAGAGCCTTAGGTTCTAATTGGATGCAGGATTTTGGAGCGGAAGGCTTAATGCTTTGGGGTGTGCCTTGATATAAATTTGAGATATTATAAAAAATTGAAGATTAACATAGTATGTGATCATAATGGCACTTGAATCACCCTGTGTTCGTTTTTAGAAACATTCAAGTTATAATGATATAGACCAAGTCCTAGATGCCTCCCATTCAAACCATCCAAAACCCTCCATTCATACACACCTGATGAGAACAAAAAATAAAAATCAACGGAATAAACCGTTGCCCATAATAATCAACGATAGAAACCGTTAACCATAGCCAAAAGGCTAAACTCCAAGTTTATTCATAAATAAGCAAGAATGAACCCTGACAAGGGGTATAAATAGTCATTTAGTAAGAGACTCAACAGAAACCCTAATCGAGCCCAGATTAATTTGACTCTAATTCGACCCAAATTAACTCTAATAAATACTCTACTAATAATAGGCACAAACTAGAAAACATAACATAAACTTTATAATAATAAATAAAACTATAATCCTAGCCCACAACCAGCCCACAGAGGTGGGCCCAAGCCTGTTCCCGTCCCTTGATCTCCATGCTCTCTATCAATTCATCCTCTTTCAAAACAACATTGTCCTCAAGGTTGAAATCCAGAAACTGGTTCACATTTGTCCTCAGGGGTTGACTAGTATCTTTAGGAAAGCTGCCACTTGATCCCCTTATGCCACCACCACTCATGGTCGTGCTATTACCCCCACTTGGTCGCTATAAACTGCCTAAACGTGATTTCGTATTATAGGATTGCCTCCATTCTAAAAAGACAAATTGTCCTCAATATCTATGGCCAATTCCATTGCTATCTCCAGACTATTTGGCCGCAACAACCGTAAGGATCCTCGAGTCGGCTCTTTCAGCCCATTAAGGAAATACCCCAGATAATGATTATCAGACAGCCCGAGAACCTGGCTGGCCAACGAATAGGGTATTGTATCCCTCCATTGTGCCCATATCTGTCTGACCCCGGAAAGCCGTTCAAACCGGATGCCCTTGAACGTGGAATCTAACCGATCCACCAGTGTTTGTGTGAATTCCTCCCAGACCATGCCCCGTTTCTGTGCTTTCAACCAGGTCACCCAATATAGGGCAGCCCCTTCCATGGCAACCACAGCTGCTGCCACTTTTCTTTACGGTGGGGTCCCATTAGTTCAAAATGTTGTTCAACCCTAGCCACCCAACCGATGGGGTCTTTGCCATCGAACGAGGGCAGCAACGTGAGTGCGGTGCTGCACTGCTGCGCGAGCCTCCTTCACCGTTGTGCGCCGAAACCGCGACGCTGGAGACCGCCGATGAGTTTTCCACTGTCGCCGGTGGTACGAGCTCCTTGGTGAGCGCTGCCGGTGATGCAGCGATCTCGGCCAACTGGACGCCATGTTCCTCCAATTTTTGGTTCATCCGGGTGTGCTCGACCTCCATCTCTGTCAAACGGTCGCTTTAAGATCTCGTCATTCCGGCGGGACAGGATCCGACAGGTCAGACCAATTGATGAGAACAGAAAATAAAAATCAACGGAATAAACCGTTTCCCATAATAATCAACGATAGAAACCGTTTCCAAAGCCAAAAGGCTAAACTCCAATTTTATTCATAAATAAGCAAGAATGAACCCTGACAAGGGGTATAAATTGCCTTTTAGTAAGAGACTCAACAGAAACCCTAATCGAGCTCAAATTAATTAAACCTTAATTAGGCCCAAATCAATTCTACTAACTACTCTACTAATAATAGGCTCAAACTAGAGAACATAACATAAACTTTATAATAATAAATAAAACTATAATCCTAGCCCACAACCAGTCCACGGAGGTGGGCCCAAGCCCGTTCCCGCCCCTTGATCTCCCTGCTCTCTATCAACACCCTTCAAATCATCATTCATATCCAAGTGACAATCCTCATCCAAAAAAATGCAGAATTGTAATACATACTATGTAGCAACTGAAACTAGGCTACTTTGTGTATGTGTGGGGTATGGGGGCAGAGCCAGTGTGTATCAAATATTTGTAGGGCAAATTCACATAGTCTAGAGAAAAGGATTACTCAAAGTACTTACGCTAACTAAATTACAGTCAGTAGTAAGCCATCACAATAAACATAATCTGACAATATGCAGCATCAACCTATTATTCTGGAATTCTAGTGTTTTACAAGTGCTTTTGAATAACAGTAGTCACTCAAAGCCCATTTTATCAAATCTACATAACATGTTAACCTCACACTCAATTTCCATCTAACTCCAAATCTCCAACAAGACCATATCTTTTATGTTCCATCATATATTTGCATTTTTTTCTCCAAATGATAATCAACAGTGAGTTAGAGACCAAACTTCATGAGGCAACATTGCCGTACAAATAAAAATTATCCGCCATTTTTTACCAAACACTATTTTTCTTATTTTGCATGCTAAATAGTACAAAAACCAGAAAATGTAAAACTGGAGTTGCTTTTATCGCTGAATTTGCTGAAGAGGGTCATCATTTTAGTGTTTTTCATTATAAACTTTCTTGGTTTATAAACAAAATTTATCTTAAAAGTATTTTTTTGTAATTCACCCGATTCAGCCGGTTCACTCACAATTGACCCAATGTTTGTGTAACCAACAAGCTCATTATTTAACATGAGACGTATCAGCAAATTACCATCTTTGCAACTTTCTTCCAAAAGTGAGGTGTTGCCTTGGCAGAAATATATGCTCTTCGCAATGCCAGCTCTTGCTCCTTGGTCCAACACCCTTTATTTGTAATAGTAAAATGCCCATCTTCTCTCTTTGCTTTCTTCCTCTTCACACATCGGTCTTTGTCTCCCAAATCATTAATTTCCTCAGTTTTATCTATTCCCTTGATTGCAACTATTAAGGAGGGTTTAGCAGGAGACGTTTCAATCTTTTCCAACTTGCTGGTAGAAGGCATAACACTTCTGCTACTATGCTTGGCTATTCTTTTATCAGCCCCACGCTGAGAAGAACTCCTAGTAACCCTCTTCTGCAGACTAACCATAGATTTATTGGAAGAACTGGCATCTACCCCATCAGGTTTAAGAGTCAAATCAGAGTTCTTATTCGAAGGAGAGTCCAAAACTTTCAGCCTTTGTTCCTTTTTTGCAGAGCAATCCCTAATCCAGCCTCGGGGGGGCCTTTTCTTGGTATTACGAGGAGAGTATTTGGCTTTTCTTTCATCAGCCAGGGGCTGAAAAGAACTCCTAGTAACCCTCTTCCCCAGATTAACCATAGATTCATTTGATGAAGTGACAAACATATTGATCTTTACTCCATCCTGGGGGACCCCTTTCTCATTATTTTCAATACATTGTTTCCGAATGCTACAATTTCCTGCAACCCTCGGTGATCGTCTCAGGCTGGTGTAATCCTCGGCTTGGCTACTCTGCGAATTTAATCTTGAGGATCTTCTTGGCCCCGTGCTAGAATTTGAGGGAATAATGGAGCCATTGGTGTTCGAAAATTTGGTTAAACATTCAACTTCAGCAGGACATGAATTTGTGGTATCTATAGCAGCTCCGGACTTTTCTATGGCCTCTCTTGTAACTTGCCCCGGCTTCTTATTTGTAGATTTTTTGCGAATTTCCCTCTGTTTGATATCAGGAGTCTTTGGATCTTCTGATCCTTGGTGATTTTTGGGATGAAAACGAGTAGACCTTCTTGTTACAACAGTGCATTGTTCTTTGTCTGCGGAAGTTCTTTGATACATTTTCACAAACAAGATTGTTGTCGTACAGTTGAGAGTAGTGGCGGATCCAATCGAAACTACTGGGGCAGAGCAAGATAATAACGTACATAAAGGCAGTATGGGCTACTTGGGCTAAAGGCTGAGGAAAGGATTCAAATAAGAGTTCTTCAGCTTAAATAGAGTCATTTTCAGATCTAATAGTTTAAAATGAGCAAAAAATGCACTAAATTTAATCAATAACATGATGGCAATTTCGTAAATAAAACGAAGTTTTTTGACACAGTGAAAAAGTGTAATACAAACATGAAATTGTGCAACGCAGTGAGAAAAAGTGTAATTATTCACACTTTGCACGAGAACACTTCTTTTATTTGAACGCTCCCCTTTGGATTGGACTATATATATGGGGCATTTATTTTTTATTTTTTTTAGATGGGGGCAATTATATTGGCTGGGATTTTCCCTAAGAGTGTGTTTGGGAGTTGGGTTTTGGAGGGGAGAGGAAGGTTAATGGGGGTTTATGAACCTCATTTTCATGTTTGGGAGTTTAAAAAATTGGAGGGGTGGTTTTGGAGGGCTTTTGTAACCCTTCAAAACCCTCCAAATGCTTAATTTTTAAGTTCCTCCAATTTGGAGGGTTTTGGAGGATAATTAACAAGATGGTAATTTAAGTTAAATTAGAAACGAATATCAGCTCAATGATTTAAATTCATCATTTCTCAAAGTGATTTTAATTATAATTCCTTCAAAAACTCTCTCCTTCCAATTTTATTACTCCCAAATACAAAGAAGGGCTTCCTCACCCTTCCCTCTCTTTCCCCTCCAACAACATACCTCCAAAGCCTTCCCCTCCCCTTCCCTCCAAACTCCCAAACATACCTTAAGGAAAATTTCATTGACAGTCGGGCCTCATTTACAAAATACTGCTACATATATTCTTTAATAAATAAAATTATGGAAAATTATATTTTTAGTCCATCAGATAATAGTCATATTGAAATATTGTCCTCGTGTTTTTCATTTTGTAAATATCACCCCTCAATTATTCTATATGTTATAAATGTAGTTTTTGCCATCACACTTAAACTAATCCCGTTAACTTTTACTCCTTATAACTTTTGACACGGTTGAATTTACTAAATAATACTCCCTCCGTCCCAAAATTATTGTCTTGTTTGGTTTTTCACATAGATTAAGAAAATGATACTGTAGCGACACTATTTGGCACTGTAGTGACACTGTTTGGCACTGTAGCGACATTGTTTTACACTGTTTTGCACTGTTTGATACTGTTTGGTATAGATTTGTTTACCAAATAAGGAAGTTTTAGAAACGGGACAATTATTTCGGAACGGACCGAAAAGGAAAGCGCGACAATAATTTTGGGACGGAGGGAGTATTATTTTATAAAATATCGTTTCGATAAATTTTTACTCTAAACTTATACTACATATAAAAAATGTTGGTGGAAAAGAATCCAATTTTATAGGCAATAAATGTCTAACATAAATAAAAATGTTTCCAAAATGACCAAAAATATATATCATTTTTGCACGTGTTATCAAAATTCTTTCCACTGGCAATTCTTTCCACATGTTTTAAAACAACTTTAAATGTTTTAAAACAACTTTAAAAATGTATACTTTGTACACGTTTTCAAAATATTTCAACCTAATAGTTTTTTCTTGTATAATGTGAGGCCACGAGAAATAACGACAGTCCGAAAAATTCAATTTTATAGAAAAAAAATGTTTACAAAAAAATGAGAGTGACAAAAAGTAGTCTAATTTTTGTACACATTTTCAAATCACCTTGTGTGACACTAAAAAATGATCATAAATATTTAGAACTGGCCAAAAATTTCAAGGTAGTGCCATACATTTATTCTCTATAAAAAAACATTTTTTTCCGCCAACATTATTTATTGTCATCTAATTTCACAAAAAAAAAATTATCTTTGTAAAAGATTTTGAAAAGAAAATGGATTTTTTTGCATAGATCATTTTTCTATGAAATTAGATGACTGATACAAAACGTCAGACGAAAATCTTTATTTACGTTATGCGGAGAATAAATGTCTAACACGGTCTTAATATTTTTTGTCAATGCCAAATATTATTGGCACTCTCAATGCCAAACAATATGATTTGAATGTGTGTATAAAAATTAACTATTTTTGGCACTATCAATTTTTCTATGTGTGCAGACATTTTCTTTCCGTAAAATTGTATTTTTTTGACTCACACTTTTTATCCTAGGAGTATGTAGGCAAAAATTGTTAGTGCAAACGATTTTGAAAATATATACAAAAACTATAAAAAATTAAGTTGTTTGAAAACACTTTTATCTATGATAGACATTTATAGTCTGTAAAATTAGATTTTTTCAATTAATTTTTTTTATTTGTGTCCTACTTTTACCGAAAGATCTGTTGGAAAGAATTTTGACAATGTGTACAAAAATTATACATTCTTTTATTTCTTTTTACAAATCTGAAAATATTTTGACACTGCCACCTTGAGCGTTGTCAAAATTCAAAAGCTCATTTGAGGGTCTTCCGAGTGGTTTTTTTAATAAATTTTATGAACATATTCTTCATCAATTGAAGATTATCTCGACAAAATTTCAACTTAAACAATATGTATAATATTACAAATTATTGCAACATATTACTTTTTATAATATCTATACATATAGTGCAATATTTTTTAATAATCTATTTAACTGACTTCTTGATTGAATTTTACAGTCTGTTTGTGGGTAATACCCAAATCGGCTTTATTAGCTGATTTTGCTGAAATTTATGATGCTCTGGCTGAAGTGACTGGATTGACCGATGTTAGTGTTTGTGAAAATTTTATATTTAAAATATATTTTATTAATTAAATAAAGAAAAAATATACTATCCTCCGATCCAAATTAAATGCAACATAGCCCAATGGCTCACAGATTAAGAAAGAGTCATAAAGTAATTGCACCTACAGTTTTTTTTTTACTTTCTTTGTAATTTGTTCAATCCACCATTGGAGTCTCCCAAAAAGAAAGAAGAATTTGGAAGGAAAGGAATCTCCAGCACAGCAGTGAGCTTCAAACTCAAAGATCTAGCAAATGCATAGGGCGAGAAGGCTAATGCGTAACCGATGAAGCCTCCAGCTAGCCGGAGATGCCCTCAGTCGTCGGCGCAATTAGGCAGCGGGTGTCACCGGTGAAAGCGGAGGACCCACTCTATTCTGCTGCTACCTTCGTTCATGGAGACTATCAAGGTTGTTGTTGCTGCTTGGGTGAGTTGGGTCGTGAGGAAAGTTTTCAAGCGGCCATTAATGGCGGACCTCCGAGGTTGAGCTCTCACAGCCGAAGGAAATGACTAGGAAGAGATGGTAATCGTGGCCTAGGCTTTCCTTCAGGATTGTTTTTGTTGGATTTTCTGTAAATGCCTAAATGGGATGAATTTTTGAATTAAAAAATGGAGGAAAGGATTGAGAAAATGGGAATGAGGAAGAAGGGATAGGCAGATGGGTGAAAAGATAAGGCAGAAGAACTTGGGGCGCTGATGAGTTTAGTACGGAATATGGAGTATTACTTTATTGGATTTAAGGGTACTATAGTCATTATGGGTATTTCTTATTACTATAAAAGGTAATTTTGCAATTACTTTGAAACTACCTCTGATAGAGTATATGTCTAGAGAGAAGTGAGAGCTAGAGAGAGAAGTGCAAGATATGTTTCAATAGAATGAATTTGTAACCCCTATAACTACCTCCAAAGGAAGTATTTATAGGAAAAATACGAGCTGAGCTCCCAAGTCTTGGGCTTGGGAGGCTCATTTACAACTGGACCGCTATTGGGCCGAATACAAAGTAAATGATGGGATATATAAATGAATGTGCAAAATCTAGTTCTGCGAGATCTCCGTGGCCGATGAGGGTCTGGCCGATGAGGGCACGACCGATGAGGGCATGACCGATGAGGGCATGGCCGACGAGGTCATGGCCGATGAGGGCATGGCCGATGAGGGCACCCGGTTCTCCGGGCTTCTGGATCATATTCTGAGTAGACCTTTTTTTGGCCGATGAGGGCATGGCCGATGAGGGCATGGCCGATGAGAGCATGGCAGATGAGGGCATGGCCGACGAGGTCACCCGGTGATCGTGGTACCTTCTGTTCTTCTGAGTATGTGGGTCATGGGGCCTAGACCCATATACTCCATCACTACCCGAAAAGGAAAGTGTTGCGATTAAAAAAGAATGGAGGGAGTATATAACGAAATAGCTAAAATGATTCTCAACAATAACTTCAACCAATATAGTCAAAAAAGTTACTCTAACCTTATTTTTTTCTTATTATTGTACAATCCGGTGCGCGGAATCAAACGTTGCGTCTTTGGTGAAAAAGTTGACTGATAAGCGTGATAAGCCGAAAAACAGAGTCACTAAACCGGCTATTAATCTGAAATTTTGTGAGATAATCTATACTCGTTGAGAAACATGCTCAAAACAATATCAAAAAATTCCACCCGAAAGGCCCTCAAACGGACTCAACTGATGTGACTCCCCTTCAGTCTAGTGATGCTATAAGTTCTCTTAAAAGAATTAGCATTAACTTTAATTGTTACTAGCTCCGTCCATGTGGACTTTGTCAAGTGTAAAGTAGGTGAGAAATAAGAATAGTAAAAATTCTGTGGTTGAGATTTGTGCAGGGCAGAGAGAAATGTGCAGAACCACATATTGGTTGCAGAAATAATGTGCAGAACCACATATTTGTATAGGGGAAAGTGACAAAGTTTTTTGGGACAATCAAAAAGGGAAAGTTGGCAAAATCCAATGAGACAGAGAGAATATTTCTAGCTCATCCCATCGCCAATTTCTGATTTCATTGTTGCATCTAATGGTAGGGATGGAACGGGACGGGTCGGCCCGGGGCCCGACCCGCCAATGTGTAGACCTGACCCAGACCGTTGTGCGGGACCGGAACCGGTACTCAGGGGCCCGAACCGGGGATTGGAGGCGGTTGCGGGACAGCCAAAATGGTGATCGATCGGCCCAACCGGTCTGGGCCTAACGGCCATATTTAAAAAAAATGTTTAAACCATTTGATGGCTTTGCAGCCTTGTGTGGGGTGAGCCTAACGGCTCTATATCCGTTGGAGAGGTCTAGGGGGGTGGGGTTTTGGGGGGTGGGGGTGGGGGTAAAAAATCTATAAATACTCCTATTTTCTAAACATTTTTCTACACCTATTCTCCAAATCTTCCTACTCTCTAATACTCTTTAATCATCTCCTCCAATTCTCTCTACACCTATTAATATATATCATATCTATTTAAATTAGTTTTACAATTATTATATCTACTTATTTATTTATTATCTACTTATAAATACATATATTATACTACTTATATTTATTATCTACTTAATATATACTTATTATCTACTTAATAAGTACTTATTATATACTTGTTATTTACTTATATTTACATATTACATCTAATTAATATATTAAGTATATATATTAAAGTATTAAATATAAATGTATTACTTATTTTATAGTAGTATACTTATATATATAACTATAGACATTATATACTATAGACATTATATTATATATTTACATATTACATCTAATTAATATATTAAGCATCTATTTATGTATTACATCTATTAGACATTACTAAATAGACATTATCTATTTACATATTACATCTAATTAATATATTAAGCATATTTATGTATTACTTATATACTATAGACATTATATTATATATTAGTTATACAATTATTATATCTACTTATTATCTACTTATAAATACTTATATTGATATTATATCTACTCATATTTATTATCTACATAATATATAATTAATATCTACTTAATATCTACTTATTATATACTTGTTATTTAATTATATTTACATATATTACATCTAATTAATATATTAAGTGTGTATGTGTGTGTGTGTGTGTGTGTGTGTCTATATATATATATATATATATATATATATATATATATATATATATATATATATATATATATATATATATATTAAAGTATTAAATATAAGTGTACTACTCATCTTATAGTTGTATACTTATATATTATATACTATAAACAATATATTATATATTAGTTACACTTTAATTAATATTAGTTAAGTTTATCTTATTACTTACACACTCACACTCCCATTAATTAGTATACATTCATACATTTTTACTATTAGTTACATTTTTCATTAATATTACTACACTTGTTAGATTAAATTATAAAAGTAGTTCGAATTTTAGTTAATTAAAATATTAAAGTAGTTGCATTTTTAGTTAATTTTACTACACTTGTATTGAAGTATTAAACTAGTTGTAATTTTAGTTAATTTACTACACTTGTTACATTAAAATATAAAAGTATTTGGAATTTGAGTTAGTTAAACTATTAAACTAGTTGAAATTTTAGTTAATTTTACTACACTTGTTATATTGAATTATTAAAGTAGTTGCAATTTTAGTTAATTAAACTATTAAACTAGTTAAATTTTAGTTAATTTTACTACACTTGTTAGATTGAAGTATTAAACTAGTTGCAATTTTAGTTAATTTACTACACTTGTTAGATTAAAATATAAAAGTAGTTCGAATTTTAGTTAATTAAAATTATTAAACTAGTTGGAATTTTAGTTAATTTTAACTACACTTGTTATATTGAATTATTATAGTAGTTTCAATTTTAGTTAATTAAACTATTAAACTAGTTGTAATTTTAGTTAATTTTACTACACTTGTTAGATTGAAGTATTAAACTAGTTGCAATTTTAGTTAATTTACTACACTTGTTATATTAAAATATAAAAGTAGTTGGAATTTTAGTTAATTAAACTATTAAACTAGTTGGAATTTTTTGTTAATTTTACTACACTTATTAGATTGAATTATTAAAGTAGTTGGAATTTTAGTTAATTAAACTATTAAACTAGTTGTAATTTTAGTTAATTTCACTACACTTGTTATATTGAATTATTACAGTAGTTGCAATTTTAGTTACTTAAACTATTAAACTAGTTGGTATATTAGTTAATTTTACTACACTTATTATATTAACACTTGTTGGATTAAAGTATTTATTAAACTACTTGGAATTTTGCTTTAATTTTACTAGTCACATTTAATAAAAAAAAGTCACATTTTTATATTATAATCACATTACTTACATTTTAATATAAAAGTCACATTTTAAGTATTGTTACAAATTACCTACTTCTGTTATTACTTGCATTGTTTTTGTACTCATATTAACATATTTATTAGCATTTAGTATTTGTTACATTTTAAGATGGAACATGGTAGACAATCTGTAAATTTGGATAACCTCCAACGCAACCGAAACAACGAGATTGGGAAGAACCATCCTCATTCGTGAGGCAAAGGTAAAGGACATGGCGGGTCTTCTTCTCAAAGCCGGGATGTTTTTGAAACGGATTACCAATGTAGAAATGCGGATGCGATGTCCGACGTGGAACTACAACTATTGGCCCAACAAGATGGACGCTTTTATCAACAACATGACATCTCCGACATTGAGGAAGAGCTCAAAGATGAGGACGCGGAGAAGAAGGATTTGGCGACGGCCGAGGACGAACAAGGCGGCTCTCAAACCCCGGAGGCCCGGATGATGACACCCACGACGAGGACAAGGCTGATTCACCCCCACCGGGTAAGAAATGTGAATCTCTCCTTATGAAAAATAATTCTAAAAAAGTGGAAGGACCCAAAAACCGAGAAGTGGTACACAACTTAGCTTGTAATCATTGCAAGAAAGATATTAGCTTGGAGATTTCACAAGGATACGGCGACGCCGATAGACATATTAAGGCCCGTCATCTCGTGGAGTATGCGAAATTATCAAAAGGCAAGGGGAAGCAATCTCAAATATCGAGGTTTGCAACAGACCAACCATATGTTAATTTCTCCTATGATGATTCCAAATATTTAACTTCTATGTCTCACTTAATTGTTGAAGAAAATTTGTCTTTTCTTTTTTCTGAAAGTCTTGCTTTAAAAGCTTATGCTCAAGGTTCTATAAATCCTCAATTTAGAAGTTATAGTCGCAAAACCATTAAAAAATAAGTTATAAGGCAATATGGTTTGGAAAGAAGTAATTACAAATGTTTTTCGCAAACTTTGATGGATGTGTTAGTATTTGTAGTGATATATGGGAGGATATACATCATCATTTGTATTATTTGGGTGTGACTGCACATTATATTGACGATGATTGGGAAACGCATAAATGTGTTCTTGCTTTTCGTAAATTTCATGATCGACACATCGCTGATAATATTTATATTCCCATTGAACGTATTTTAATTGAGTATATAATTTGATTGATAAGGTGTTTGCTATGAGTTTTGATAATGCTAGTAATAATAGTGTTGCTATACTTAGATTGCGTGAATTGTGTGGTTCTTCTACTTTGATGTGTAGCTTTTTTCATTTGCGTTATGTATGTCATATTCTCAATTTATGTGTAGAAGACGGGCTAGTCACATTAGTAGATGCTATGGAGATAGTGAAAGGGGGAATTAGACTTATTTGGGCTAGTAATCCACTAAAAATGCAATGACATCCATATTTGAGGGATATGCGTGTGAAATATTGTCAATTTTCTAAGGATTTATCTATTCGCTTGAATAGTACTTATGACTTAATTGTTGTACTTATTAGATTTAAAGACCATTTTCCTGCTTTTTTAAAAGAATATGCCAAATATATTACAAATCCAGCTGACATCGTCACTATTGAAAAAATTGTCAATGTTTTGGTATATTTTAATAATGCAACTCGAACATTTAATCATGTTTATAAACCTACCGCAAACTAATTTTTAATTGAAGCTGTTAATCTCGCCAGTGCTTTTGTTGAATTTTTCGATGCCCCTTACGTTCATCATTTTTGTTCTTACATGAAAGAAAAGTTTTAAAATATTATTCACATATTCCGCATATATATGGTATTGCATTTATTCTTGATCCTCGTTTTAAACATAATGCTTTTCAAAATTGTGTAGGGTACTATTATGCTTCCTTTTTTGGTCCATTTCCTATGTATGAAGATAGATCCTAAAGAGCAATACAACGAGGTTAGTAATTTATTTCATCAATTATATAATGAGTTTCATGCACAGTATGGTAACATGCCCCCTCCTCTGACACGAATATCTTCTTCATCTAAGGGAAAATCATTTTTGAAATCTACATTTGACGATCTTATGAAAAAAAGTAAAACAACTCCCGATGTTGCACAAAGCTCAATTAACGAGCTGTCTGTATATCTAGTGTTTCGTGTTGACTATGAAGACAGGGATGACTTTGACGTTCTGCAGTGATGGAAGGAAAACGAAAGAACGTTGTCGGTTTTATCAAAGATGGCTAAGCAAGTGCTAGCAATGCCGGTATCAACGGTTACCATGGAACAAGAATTTAGTGCGGCCGGCAACATCCTAACAGATTATAGAACGAGATTGAGCGCAAAAACTCTTGAGACGCTTGTTTGCTTCTACGATTGGTTGAAGGCCGAACGTAGAACTCAAGAACTTAAGCCCAAAATTTGAGTACCACCCAAGCCCGTCCCGAGGCCCGGCCCGATCCCAGGCCATCCCTAATCTAATGGATTAACCTTGAAAACTTGAAACTTTTTCATGTTAGGATGTTTTTACTTGGACTGTAATTTGCTGGTCTGGTCTGGTCTGAACTGGTCTGGTTTCTTTGTATTTTTATAACTATCCAAGTCTGATCTGGTCTGAACTGGTCTGGAAGGAATTACAGTCCAAGTAAAAACATCCTTAGCCTTTTTGAACATCTAGTCTAATTATAAACAAATTTTTTTGATCATCTTCTAATTATAAACAAATTGAAAATTCTCTTTGTTCTCTTGTACAAAGAATGCCATCTACCAAAATTCTCATTCACTGGAAAACCAAACCCGGTTGAAGTCATCAACTACGTCTTCCACTCCTATACAACATAATAATAAACACTCTAGTGGGGGCAGCCTTCTTTAGCCATATGTATACGCCCACCTTCTAAAAATCTCACTTCACTCTATGTACTAAAAAATAAGTCTTTAAACCGGTTGGCGTCCAGTTCGGCTTCCAGGGCTCACCTTGGACCAGAGAGCTCCATGCCTTGAGCAAGCACAGAAGAGTCATCAGTGAGATCTGAGAACCGCTCCGATGACGAGAACGTGTGTGTTGTCATGTACTTGTGTGACTGTTCTGCTTTTTGAGATGCTTCCCATTTCTCTGCAAGCCCATCGCCTTCAAGCATTCGGACCACTTCAGACATTTTGGGCCTATGGCTCGGAAGATATTGGGTGCATAGTAAAGCAACTTGCACCATTTCCTCTAGCTCTATCTCATCATATTTGTTTCTCAAGTCTTTGTCCACAAGTATATCTAGGTTCTTGTCTTGGTGAATTTTCTTAACCTGATATTTTTGTTACAACCAAACCATGCATTAATTTCCATTGATACATGAACTGTCATTAATTAAGAAAAGTAGTAAACTGTCAGAGATGCTTCCCATTTCTCTGCTAGGGTATGACAAAGCGCATATAATTAGGGATAAGTTGAGATTAGGCGTCATTGCGTGATCTAAGTGGAATTAAGTGGGTTTCGACCGGAAATACACTGAAGCAGTGATTAACTGAATCTGGTTTTTCTTTACAGGTCGAGGGCAGTCAGATCAACATGGGCCCACCACTTCATATGTGGGGCCCACATATCAAATGTTCAATGCAAGTCAGGCACCAATCCTGGGTTCGAGGGCCATAGGATCGACACAGGCCCCACTACTTGCTTCAAATTTGGGATTAGGCACAAAATTTTTAGGGTTGAAGGCCAACCGATCAACCACGGGACACTACTTCAAATGTGGGGCCTACACTTTCGGGATATTATGCAAGCCGGTTGCAGATCCTAGGGTCGACGGCCACCGGATCAACAAGGGCCCCCACCACTTCAAGTACGAGACCCATACACAAAGACTGGGGGACTGTTAGGTTTAAGACCATTAGCCTCTCAGCGAAACAAAGAATCAAAATACTCACCCATTCAAGCATAGCTCCTTTTTGGTTGGCTGATTTTCCAAACTCTATAGCCCCCATTCCCGTGATTAGTTCGAGGAGGAGGATTCCGAATCCAAACACGTCCGTTTTCTCTGAGGATTGGCCCGTTGATAGATATTCTGGAGCAATGTGGCCCACAGTCCCCCGCACGGCAGTGGTGACATGGGTGTCCTTGTGATCCAGCAGTTTAGCTAGCCCAAAATCCCCCACAACTGCCTCACAACTTTCATCAAGCAAAATATTTGCTGCCTTAACATCTCTATGAATTATCTTTGGATCACACTGCTCATGAAGATACAGCAGCCCTCTTGCTGCTCCTATGGCAATCCTCTTCCTCATCACCCACTCCAACACTGGTTTGACTGGCCACACAAGTCAACATAAGAAGTTAGTGGAATGAAAAATACATATTAACGGCTGTTTGGTACAGACTTTGTTGGCTTATCGGTCTTATCAATCATATATTTTTACAAACACAAGTTTAATAGACCAAATGGACTGAATCGGTAATACTAATAAATAAAATATAGGGATAGAAGTACTTTTAGGATGAATTCGGTTTTCACAACCATTTTAGTTTTTTTTAATTACTCATATTCTTTATTTCATCAATGAAAATATATTTATAACTTTTCAATAATTTAACCATTTCAGCAACTTTGTCAAAATGACCCACAATTTCAGGTATTTCAGCAATTTTATAGAGTATTATGTTTGTTTTACCCAAATTTGGGTTAGCGGCAGAAAAATCAGATTAGCAGCCTTTGACTGTTATGAAACGCCTAAGATGTTCATAAAGGCCTAAATGCGATGTTGATAAACACAGAACAATCAAATTTATGATGAAGGCCTAAAGGTGATACGCTTTTCCTTTAAGAAAATCCATCATAATTGGTTGTTCCATCAAAAAGAAAAAGATAACCTTGACCAAAAAGGCTCTTATCAAGTAGAAAGGAGCATGGTGATAGAAAAACTACCTTTGAGGCGTGAAGCGACGCTTCCATTGGACATATAAGGATAAACCAAAAGCTTTTCTGTAGCCGTCATACAAAATCCATATAACTTAAGAAGATTGCGGTGCACAGCCAAACTAATCATCTCAACCTCTGTCTGGAACTGTCTTTCACCACCAATTGCATTCCCGTCTTTTAACCTCTTAACAGCCACTGCCGTTCCATCCGAGAGAAATCCTTTGTACACATTTGCAAACCCCCCTTTTCCCAGAATATGTTTACCACTGAAGTTGTTGGTTGCATTTTGAAGTTCCTTGTATTGGAACCTTCTTATGTTTCCCAAGGATATTTCTTCATGGTCCCGGGCTATAAGGATAACCATTTGTGAGAGATAACACACACTTATATACCAAATAATTGAAAAAAATATATAACTTCTGCATACCGTCATCCAACAATTGCTTGTCTTGCCTACTCCTTGACCATAGAAATAGAACAATTCCTAGGACTAGAATACTTGAACAGCCAATGGTTGAACCTAAGGCAATGACTAGCCTGTGGCTTTTCTGTTTCGCAGAAGACTGGTTAGCTGGAAATTAAATGTTAACGAAAATCATGTTAGCTTAATCACAAAACAAACAAGTACATGTTGATTTTTTATGGCCTGTTTGGTAAGGGGTGAATGGCTGAATTAGCTTAATCGCAAAAAGGAAGAGTGTGTAGACAAATTACATTCAGCCAAACAAGTATGCCAACGGCTCTACTTAGGCTCTGTTAGGTAGCTCAAATTTCTGCTTATATTTTCCTTAATTGGCTGAAACCAATTTTATGGAATACTTCACTTTTAGAAAATTCAATCATTTAGGTCAAATAACTTTACCTAATTGGCTCTTTTTTTATAAGCAAAATAAACCGTTTAATACATAGTACTACCAAGCAGGCTCTAGGTGAACAAAATTGTATGCATGTAAAGCATATAACGAATCCATACTTCCTGAAGTGTCAACTGGCATTGACATAGGCAGCAGAGTCATGCCTTTGCAGTATGATTCAGACCCGTTGACACATATCAAAGGATTTCCTGCAATGCTGCCATTAACGTGGAAAGAATGAAGAATATACTTAGCCATACAAGAAACAGTATGAACACATGAAATGTTTAAACTAAGGCAAATGCATGATTGGATCTATAATTAAATTACATTAGATAGTAGTGACATTGCGGTTCCCCCAAAATTTTGAATTTGAGGTGGGCCCGAGATAACTAAAACATATTTTCTCCACTTTAATTTTACACAAAAGAAAATTTGGTGTTTACAGAACTTAGGGTGGGCCATGGTCCACCCCTACCTGGGCTCATGAAATTATGTTTATCTAACGTTTAAATACTACTGAAAACATAAGCTTACTTGAATGCCTTTGAAGGGACTTTCGGGACAGCTCCGCTCAAGTTATTGCATGATAAGTCCCTGAATTCAAAATAATGTTCAAGTAATGCACATAAGTTTCAATCAGAAATTTGCAAGGGAATGAGCTTATATTGAACAAGAGGGAGAGAGAGATTTACATGAGAATAAGCTCGGTCATGCTGGTCAAAGACATTGGAATTTCTCCAGATAAACTGTTGTTGTTGAGTTTCCTAATTCACACAAAAAAAAATATTATTATTATTTTTAGAAGATTAATTAAACAATTCATTTCTGAAGTTTTAAAAAATGCTTACATATACTTGAGCCTTTGCAAGTGGCCTAGGGAAGAAGGGATTTTTCCAGTAAAGAGATTGTTGGAAAGATCAAGAGATAGAAGATTAGGGAGGCGTCCTATCTCATCTGGGATCAGTCCAGTTATGTTGTTGTTCTGTAAGAATCTGTCAATCACATTATCGCTTATTAAAGCATAGATGATTTTTTTAATTAAAACTAAGCAGTGTGATCTTCAGAAATTAGCACTTACATGGTCTGGATGTTGGTCAAATTTACAATGCTTGGAGAGAGCATTCCAGATAAGTTCTGGCTTGGAGCTCCTCTGCACATGAACAAACCTCGTCAACTAAGGGTCTGTTTGGAACTCAGTAAATGTCAAGGCAAAGAAAAATGGAAATTTTAGGGGAAATTGAAAAAAAAGAATAAAATTAAAATCAATAAAATTTGATCTTTTTCCAAGAAAACCTAAAAATGTCTAAAATTGCAGAGAAAAGCTGGGTTCTTTAAATAATAATAAGATTTGAAAATTTGAAACAACTTACAGTCCAATAACTAAACCATCTGGAGAGCAAGTAACCATGGACCAGCTACAAGGATCAACAGCGTTAGCATCCCATCGATCAAGAACACCACGAGGGTCTTTCAGACAGGCTTTTATATCCATTAAAGCTTGAACTGAGTACACATTTCGTGGGGAAAGAAAACATAAGAGAAAGAAAAAAGAAGATTTTGAGACACTTTTATGGAGAACACAGAGATTACAACAACATATGAGCTGGAAGCTCAATAAATACCTTCAAAGTTTACACCTTTAGGAGATAACAAACCAATAGCAGAGCACAGAAAGCCAAGAAACGAGACAGACCATAACACAGCCTTTGTTTCTCTCCTCATCAGTACTAATTATTTAATACTCCTGCGGCAGAGAAGGCTGGTAGAAGCTAGGTAGAACCGCCCTGCCACCGGAAATGAGTTTCTTGTGGGTGTTAATCTAGTAGTGGTGTAGGAGAAAAGCTCTATTCTTATTAGTAGCATCCTACTATGGTCTCTCTGTCAGACCTAAAGTACAGAAAACAATTTGGCAAGGAGCTCTGTAAAGCAAAGAATACGGTATTGCTGGCCTCAAACTCCCCTTTTCCCTTTGCTCTTTTTCTTTTTAATGACAACTACACCCACTTTTAAATTTTAAAGTGTATATTCGATCTTTCCCCTACAAAAGTTACCCTTAGTTTGAAACCCCTATTAAGAGGCTAGAGTAGAGCGCCTATACAACTTAATTTGACTCACCTAGTAAGTGGTTATACTCGAGAAAGCGAAATGATAAAATCTACGGAGTACATACATAACTAAATACGGAGTAATATTTTCATACAAACAAAAAGATGATTTTTTAAGATATACATAGTACTACCTCCGTCCCAGAATTTACTTCCGAAATAAAGTGGCACACGGATTAAGAAAGTGGAAATTGTGTGGTGGAGAGTTGTGCAGAGGAGAGAGAAATGGTGTGAACCACAAATTCTTTACCAAAAAGGAAAAGGGAAGTTCTTTTTGGGACAGACGAAAAGAGAAAGTTGGAAGTAAATTATGGGACGGAGGGAGTACTACGTATGACGGTATGAAAATGAAAAAATTATTTTTAGCGTGGTAAAGAAAATGGTTACTTAGTTCAAAACAAAAAGAAAATGTTTACTTCAAAATAACAAATTTAAAATCTTGAAGCATAAGATTGCTACCAAACTCTAGAGGGTCTGGAATCAAGAGGTGGCCCAGAATGCATCTTACGCATTCAAGATTTTCAATTAAAGGAGCTTCCCGTCTATCATTTTAGTCGATTTAAGTTTCTCATGGAAAATTTACATGATTATATTTTTAAGAAATATTTTTGATGGGTGTGTATATAGTGTAATGAAGTCATGGATGGAGGAAGCGGTACAGCTCAGCTGGTCGCCCACTCACTCTCCTTTACGGGAGATCTCGGGTTCGAAAGTTAATGGAATGAGTTTCAGTTTAGATTACTCCAGACCCCTCAACCCCTCCCATAGACGCCCCTGGAGTAAAAAAATGAAGTCATTGATGGTAACCGTTATGAGTGTGTTATTAATAATTGATGATTAATACTACAAAAATAACAGATTGACAATGATATTTGATAGGGATTCGTCAAAATACATGAAATTTTGGCACAAATACACCAAATCTGTGTCAAGAGTGTTGTCAAGAGCTATTTGATATGGAGCCGTCTATCGATCTCGTTATTTTTTGTATCGATCTTATTTGAAATTAAACAGAATTGCCAACTTTAGATGGAACGTCCAAAATAGACAGGTAATTAAGCCGGAAAGGAGGGAGTCATTTGCACTTAAATACTTTGAACTTAAAATCTCAGGTGACGGCTCCATTTTGAGAATTTACAGAAGAAGAAACCGTGTTTTCTACTTGGAACAAACATCTTATTACGGAGTACTTACAAAAAAATGGTGTTTTATTATTTAGTTCAATCATAAATTATAAATGTACTCTAAAATCGCTCATTTGTTGTTGATGATTTTGTATGTGTAAAAGCATGCTCTTTTATTTATTGTCTATTTGGCTGGTAAATGATGTCTTGCCTCTTGCCTCAAAATTTAAAGTGTATTATGTGCTAATGTTGAAAATTAGATTTTGTTTTTAAGGTGTTTAAAATTTTCACGTTATTATTTCAAAGTTTATACACATCACAAAAAATGCGGTTGATGCAATTAATTTTCACTATATGGTTTTTTATTTTATTTTTTGTGCTATTTTTTTTCGAAATGTAGTAATTAAGTGTAAAACCATATCATCTAAACCAAATCATTTCCCTTTAAAATTAAAATGAAGATGACTTCTTTCACTTTGGACGGTACAAAGAAGAAGCTTAATTAAATTAATACTGCGTAGTGTTTATGGGGTACAGAAAAGTGCTCCAACAAAATAAAATGATTCTTCTTTATATTATCAAGAAAAGAAATAAAAAATAATACGGAGTACTACGTATTGTCGAAGAGTCCAAACAAAACATACATATGAGTGTAGTGGATCCACATGTAAAAAACAAAAAGCTTATCTCGATTCACATGTTCAAGCAATCCGAATAAATTAGGGAGTGATGTGAGATTTATCATGCAAATTATCCACGCACAAGTTGCCTCTACGATTATTTACTGGTCTGGTCTGATCTGATTTGCTTCGGAGGATTGAAATTAGACCAAGTAAAACGATAATAATTTTCCATAATTTGGAAGGAATATTATTATTTTTAATTATAATTGAATAAAATATAATTATTTATGGATTATAAAATATATATAAAAAATAAAATCTTTATGCAAAAAATATATAAAATAAATTTTCAGACCAGACCAGACCAAAATAGACCAGACCAGACCACCAAATTACAGTCCAAATAAAAACATCCTAAATGAAATGCATCGGCGTACTGAACTCAAATCAATATTGTACAAATTCTTTTCATGTTTACATTTTGATTTGTTGTAAAATATTTTTCATGTAATTTTTATTATATCTATAGCTTAGAATCATTCAATACTTTTGTAATTATCAACAATTGCACATTTTCATTTAATTTTCCTTTATTTGCACATTTTCTTGTCTCAATATATAGTGTAGGATGGGAGAAGAATACTCGGTGAGATGGTAGGCTTCGTAATTATGCTCCATTTTGTATTGCATTCATTATTATATATTTTTTTAAATAAAATAATTCAGTATAGGAATAAAACATGTACAGCCAATTTTATCAAATAAGAGTAGGAGAATTTACTACCAAAGTACTCATTATGACTCATTTTCTACTTTTACTTTGAAGAGTTTTTTAAAAGAATGACACAAATAATACTTATACACTTTTGAAAGACAAACATATACTGGTTTTTAATTTATTTTGAATAGAATGACGTGAGTTATGTTTTGAAAATAAAACGTACTCCGTATATATTTAAATCTATTTGTCAAATTTAGTTGAATTTTTCTTTGATTTGGCAACGACTATTTTTAAAGGTGGTTACTGTTCATGTTAGAAGGGGAGTGAGGCAGGGACAAAAGAAAGTGAGTTATAGATTAGACTATAATCTCAATCTTACAGATAGAAAGTGGGGCTCTGTCCTCGGTACTTGCAGAAGCCTTATGCATTCATAGCATAGTAACCTCTCATTATAGTTGCCGGGATTCGAATCTGGTACCTAACATTTGTGACACTCCTTTGCTACCGGTTGAGCTACACCCATAGGCAGAGACAAAAGAATTTGGAATTCCACATATATGTGCCCTGAGTTTGGTCATTCGAGAAAATGACAAACGAGATTTAATCATTCTTAACACACAGTAACTATGTGATAAACTCAGGATTTATTTAAACAAGATTAGTGGACATCATGATTGTTGTTTTTGGTCTTGGTCACACTCACTCAGACCGATTGACCAAATCAACAGCATTAGCCAAAATATGTCAAGTTTACTGCGGTCCTTACTGGGTTATTCACTACTTCGTATATTATTTTTGGTGAATCTGCTTAATTGTGGGTTTTTATGTTTAAAATATATTTATTAATAAAATAAAGAAAAAATTATATAAAGAATAAATAAAATAGTCATCAAACTCATCGCGCAATCACAAAAGTTACGTGTATACTAAAACAAAGGAGGTTATCAAACACGCTTTTAACCCAAAAAAACAAAATGATATTTCTTTGTTGAATAGAGTTACAATTTGTACGAATCCGTATCACCGATCTACGGGTCGATTGGTGATCCTATTTTTCGGCTTATCAGATTTATCAACCAATTTTTTCATCAAACATGTAACTTTGATTTCAAGCGCTAAATTATGTAATGATAAGAAAATATAAGGTTGGAGTTACTTTTCTGATTTTATTTGCTGAGTTAGCTGCGTTTTTCTATGTATCATTTTGCGCAGTTAACTTCCAAAAATTATTTGACAGCCTTCCCGGTCGAATTTTGAGCTGAATTTTTTGTGGATAAACTAGACTTGATGTAGAACATACCATAAAAATTTTATCAAAACATTCCACCGGGAACTGTCCCAAACGGCGGTGTTCGTACGGCGCCTCAGGTCCGAACGTTCAGACCTGAGAATGACTCACAATTCCAATACACTTGGTATTTAATCAAAAGTTATGTGTACGGTAAGAAAAATGACCGATAAGGCTTATAAGTTAAACTTATACTATCCTCCGTTTCATTTTAATCGCAACATGTTGAATTTTACACTATTCACATGCTCTACTTTGACTACATTTTACGCTATTATTTTATGAAAATTATTTTTTTAAAAAAATATTGTTAAATTCATCTCATTACAAATTTTCAAAATCTGATTTTTAATACTTCGTATTTTTTTACTAATAGAATTAAGATATAATTACGGTCAAAGACGTGCGTTGGCAAATATGAAATGTTGACCGTTGCAATTAAAAAAGAACGGAGGGAGTAAGTCGGAAATGAGGTTATCAAACACGCTTTTAACCCAAAAAACAAAATGATACGGTGTATTTCTTTGTTGAATAGAGTGCTAAAATAAAACAATTTGTACTAATAACTATCACCAATCTAGAGGTCGATTGGTGACCTCATTTTTAGACTGATCAGATTTATCACTCATTTTTTCATCAAACACGTAACTTTCATTTCGAGCGCTGAATTGCGTAATAATAAGAAAAGGTAAAGTTGAAGTTACTTTTCTGATTTTATTTTCTGAAGTTACTGTAGAGAATCATTTTAGTTGTTTTTCATATATTTTTTTCTTTATTTTATTAATAAAATATATTTTACATATAATTTTTTCATAAATCAGCAGAATGAGTCAATTCAATCAAAACTTCATAAATTTCAATACAATCATCCAATATAGCTAATTTGAGTATTATCAAATAGACTCTGATGATAAATGTATAACAATATGAAAACTAGATAAATATTATCTTTCCAAAAAAAAGATAATATTTAGTTTCAGGCTTTTCTGTTTCATCCATGTTTTATTTTCTTTCCAAAAAAAAGATAAATGCACAACGGTGTAATTTACATATATCTCCTCTTGTGTTCAATCTTAAAAAAATTATCTCACGTAGCTTTCTTTTTAATTTTTAAACTGTATATATAAGTTTTAATTCAAAAATTGTTACCATTTGGCAAACGATTTATTGATTTA